TAGTGTAATTAACTGTGAAAGCAAGGGACCCGAAAATTGGTTACAATATATTTTTTTAAGGCTTTCATTTTAAAATTCGTTTTTATAATGTTAATTTTTTGCGAGATCACATTTTTCATGAAACTTATTGTGTTCTCGTATCTTTTCGTGATGAAAATTGTTTGCCTCTAATGACAGTAAGGCAGTAGAAAAGCTAGAGTTAAGCAAATAACTATCCTAATTTAAAGAAAAAATATTTAAGTTTTCTTCACCGGTTTTTCATTTATGTATATTATATTTTACTAAGGTTAATTATAATACCTTTGTTTGCAATATTTTAAATAAAAATGTCGTCTTTTTTAAAGTGTCAAAATGTTCTAATCAAAGGAATATTCAATTTAAAATTTTAGAGAAAGATATTAGGAAATATATCAAAATATGGAAATTGAAGAATACATTTATAACCTTTGGAATTTATAATAATGTGTAAATGCAAGTTTTAATATGTATTTATAGAGTTCATTTTAGAAAATTTATTTTTCAGCCTAACCAATGTATACATTTTCCAGTCTTAGTAGGTAGAAAATGTATTTTTTTAGTTTTGATAAATCTGAGTTCGAATGGCATTTTTGCTTAAATTGGATGCAATTGATGCAGTTTTGCATTATGGAGAATATATTGATGCATCTTCTAAAGAATCTGTATAGAGGGTGCATTGATGCAGTCTATGCAGCTGGAACAGCTGACTCAGGACGAACTGAAAAAACAAAAAATATTAAAATCCATTTTTTAAGAATATTTCAAATTCTATAAAGCTACATAGATCTATACATAAAGGAATTAGTCTTTGCCACAAACTCAAATTTTCTAATTCCTATATCTTTGCAACCTTGTGGTGTAAACCTTTGATATTTCAAACTTAGATTATTTGATCTAACAGAGTTCATATACAAGGTCTACGACATTGGGTTGCAAAGATAAAGAGATTTGTGGCAAAAACTCAATTCCATTATTAATTTCCCTTCAAATTAAATATTACAAAATGTTCTAAAATATTTTGTATGATTTTGTATGTGTATATTTTAAATATAAATATATGATGTACATAAATAAATTCATCAATTACGTGTACAATATACATTCCTTTATAAAAAGCTAGTTTTTTGGTATGCATTACTAAAATTTGAAGAAAGAAAACACCTAAAACTTCTTGGCAATACTAAAGTTCTTTTCAAATTAGAATTCACATGATTGTTGTTACTTAAACTTGGCCTAAAGTTTATATAAAATATTCATTATCGATTATACCTGTTAACCCTTGTAAGAAAAAAAATCTTAATTAAAGTAAAATAAATAAATAATACGAAAATACACAGAAATCTTTTTTCAGAAAAACAGAACAAAAAAATCTGCCAGAGGGAGAGGGGGGGGGGTAGAGAAAATAGACCCACCCCTCCTGTTTGTGACATTTGAATACGTTGTGTACATACATTTGCAAAAAACTTTTTTCACGCATTTCTTTCAAGTTTATTTTAACATTTTTAGTTTTTCTTGATAACTGGACAAATTCGGTTTATATAAATATTCAACAACTATCTGTTAAATATTTTTTAATGCTTGCAGTTTCCAGAACGTAACACTTGTCATATTTGGACTTCTTTAAAAATAATATTTTAAACCAGAAAAAAATTTACAAAATTATCTTATTCCATTTATAAAACCCGATATTGGAACCCGGGTTTCATGACGACATTCTGTCTTAAATTTCGGGTTTACCCAGCAAATGTAAGGTAAAAGACACAAGAGTACTACAATGAATAATACTTTTCAGCAAAACAGGGTGATTTTCAAAAGTTGATTTTTTAAAATGTTCACCAAAGCAAAACAAGCTAAACCATAAAGATAATTTTAATATTTATTAAGTCGTTATTCCATGACATTTGATAAAGATAATTTTAATATTTATTAAGTTTCAAAAGTTGATTTTTTAAAATGTTCACCAAAGCAAAACAAAGTACAACAAAAAGATAATTTTAATATTTATTAACTCGCTAATTCCATGACATTTGATAAAGATAATTTTAATATTTATTAAGTCGTTATTCCATGAAATTTGATAAAGATAATTTTAATATTTATTAAGTCGTTATTCCATGGCATTTTTCAGAACCAGGATTAAGCCATTTAGTTGTTCATAACTTTAGTTCAAAAACATTTTTGGTAAAATTTTAAAAGGTATTCGCGTCTTGCATATGTTGATTCACAGTGCAGCCAATCGGAGGTATAACAAGGTTTTTTCAGAGAACCCCGCATTTTCGAAAATTTGGGACCTTCGATGGAAATCTGTAGTCTTTTTAAAGAAAAGGGTGGTTTCGGGAAGACAACAACAGGTCTCCAATTAAAGATAAAAAATCTGGGATGTCCACTGTAAATCTGGGGGTCTCCAATGAAGTCTGGAGGTTTCCAAAGAATAGTTTGGGCGGGGTCTTCAATGAAATCTTGGGGTCCCGTTGATAATAAAACTGGTGAAAGTCCACTGCTGTAAATCTTGAGGTTTCCAATTAAAGTCTTATGGTCTCACATGAAAAACTGGTGGTCTCTGATTGGAGAGAGGGGTAGGGGACTCGTGTCAAAATATGAAGAAAACTGCTGTGGGGAGGGGGCTATGGTTTTTTTCTCTCTTGTCTTTCTGAAACAAATGTGCACCCTTCAGTAGGTGGGTGGCGAGGATAGTGAAGGTCGGAGAGTGTTATGAATGCCAGAAACAAGCTTAAAATAATTGATTTAATGAGAATCGATACCCATATTGTATACTATGCGCATAGAATAAGCATAGAGTGGGGATGGGGTCTCTTTAAAAACTGAAGGAAGTTGGGGTAGTAAGGGTAGTTCCCATACAGATTCAGCTTCAAGGGTGGGGGTGGGGTGGGGTCTCTCTAAAAACAGACGGCTTTCCACCCCCTAATCTGACACATCTCTTTAGAAGCCTGAATTTTTTATATATCTTGCATTGGTAGTCTTTCATCTCAATAAAAAAAACATGCTCCAGCTTCAAAAAAAAAAATTACAAATTACAATATATTTTTATTATCACACATGTTTAAACATTTACATATCTCTCCTGATAAAAAAATGAGTCAAAAACTAAGGAAAATTGGGTAATTTCCTAGTATACGATTGTTGGACCCCGTACCGACCCCCTCTCCCCCCTCCTATCAATTTTGTACATGGATCTTAGATGTAAGACTCATTTAATAAAGATAATTTTAATATTTATTAAGTCGTTATTCCATGAAATTTAATAAAGATAATTTTAATACTTATTAAGTCGTTATTCCATGGCATTTGATAAAGATAATTTTAATATTTATTACGTCGTTATTCCATGGCATTTGATAAAGATAATTTTAATATTTATTAAGTCATTATTCCATGGCATTTGATAAAGATAATTTTAATATTTATCAAGTCGTTATTCCATGAAATTTGATAAAGATAATTTTAATATTTATTAAGTCGTTATTCCATGAAATTTGATAAATATAATTTTAATATTTATTAAGTCGTTATTCCATGAAATTTGATAAAGATAATTTTAATATTTATTAAGTCGTTATTCCATGAAATTTGAAAGAGATAATTTTAATATTTATTAAGTCGTTATTCCATGAAATTTGATTAAGAAATTAATTATTTCCAGAATTGTTCATCTTTCTCTGCTTCAGGAAGCTCTCGAACATTTTCCAAACTTCGAACCCGATATTTGTAATATTTGTTTTTTTACACCACTTAGAGGACTAATTTAGTATTTGAAAAGCTGGAATCGTATTCTACGAGATCTTCTCATATATCTAGACTCTAGAGCAGGGGTCCATATAATTCCCAAAATTGTTTTTGCCCCAAACTATAAAAAATGACCCCAATTGCAAAAAAAATTAATTTAAAAAACATTTTTAAATTCCACTAACATTTGCTGGGGAATTGTCCCCAATCGGAAAAAATGACCCAAATAAAAAAAAAACATTTTCTAATTTCCCTACCACATTTGCCCCCGAGTGTAAAAAAATACACATTTGCCCCCATTGGGGATAGCCCCAATTGGAAAATAAAAGGCCCCCAATGAAAAAACATTTTTAAATTCCACTTACAAATTTGCCCCCAATTGGATAAAAATGCCCCCAATTAAGAAAACATTTTTAAATTCCACTTACACATTTGCCCCCAATTAAAAATCTTTTCCTAATTTAAAAAAAAATGTTCCCAAATAAAAAAACAATTATCATTTTCAAAACAATTGGCCCCCATCTTAAAAATTTCTTTCAAATTTGTCGAGCCCAAATGGGATTGAGAAAGAAATTATATGGACCCCTGCGCTAGAGTCCTTTAAAGTTATTACAACTGGTAAGAAACCATAATGAAAATTATTTGAAGAAAACAATAATCTATGAGAATTACTTCTTTTAAACCAAAGCTAATACAAGTGCTCTTTAGTGCTAAAATGTACATGTAAAGGGCTACAGAAAAGCAAAAGTGAGTTAGAAATGTAAAATCTAAGCGACACTTCAAAGTCGACCCTGTCTTCAAAATTGATGAGACTTGTTAAAAGCAGGCTGAATCTATGTAATATTTGACACTCTTTGACCTGTTTCAGGGAGACCAGTGATCTTTGTTGCTTTGGAAATAATTAAATGTAAGACAGTAAGTAAGACATTGGGAGACTTTCTTGTTCAATACAGTGGATTTTTCTTCCAATGAAGCACAAATGTTTAAAAATCACCCTGTACAGTGTTCGACGTTTATATCAATACAATAAAGACAACTTTTCTCTTACGGTTTTGATTTCTAACAAGCATTATCAAAATATAAGATTACAAGAAACATTACAAGAATCTGTTAATTGACAGTTTGTCTTTGCTTCAATTTTATGTGTATCCACGTTGTTTGAAAGCTTTGTATAAATAAAAATTTAAATACAAATTCGTCTTCATTGTATTGTTAATACGTCGACGACTATAAAATAAATAAACTCCTAACAGCTCTCCTTAAAATCTCTTATCTGTAATGTCTAAAGCTAACCTTTACAAGCTCCAGGACTGAAGGTTAGCTGGTCAATGGCAAACCCTCCATTGCTGGCCTCTCCAACAATAAGCAGACGAATCTTTCGGTTCAAATTTACAGAAACCTTTAAATAAAATAATATCGATATTAACTAGCTGAAGTGCCCGGCGTTGCCCGTGGAATTAAAATTTGCCATCATGAAAAAATATTGATTATTTTGTCTGTTTATGGTTTCCTTAAACACGTTCAGTCAATATATGAGCGAAGAAAATTTGAATGTTTTTAAATTAGAGATTTCACAAAGAAGAAGAAGAAATAGAAGAAGACCTGTGCTGGCTCCCAATCAGGACGAGCTGTGTCAAGTTTTGCAGCATTTAGTTCCCAAATCTAGAATATAAAATATCCAATTTGTGAAAGTCAAAAACAGTAAATATATAAAGACATACAGGGTTACCCACAAAGTACATGACTTCAGAGAACTTAGCATAATTTATAATTTATCTTTACATTTAGGATTCTCTGCAATTGTAAACTTGTTAACTATTTAATTTAATATTAGGATCACACTTAGAACCTTTCACTGAGTATTAACCCTATTCCTGCTTTTGTACACCCCCCCTGTAGTTTTTTTTACATAACTTAAAAAGTATTGGTCTGAGGCTGTTGAAATTTTCTGACTTTTCCTACATACCCAAAGCCCTCCATTTAGGCCTAAAACCGGGCTTTAATACTAACTGCCTGAGTCCTCAGGCACACTGCCTGAATGACTGCTTTTTCCTGTAACAAACTAAATCTTTGTTTTGACCCACTTCCACTTGTCAGATTTTGATAAGATTTAGCTTTTTGGAAAGCCTTTGACATAAGGAAACAAATTGCACAAGTTTTGCGAAAATAAATTGCAAATTTTTTGCAAACAACCTGTCAAAAGAAATTTGCACATTTTTAGTTTTTCTTGATTAAAAATTAGGTTATTTAAAATTTTGCAAAAAATTTTGCATATTTGAAATGGCATGGTCAAGGGCTTTTCAAAAATGTATAATTTTTCATTTTTTGGACAAATTTTTTTTTGCAAACATTTTTACTATATAACTGGATTTTGCGATAAAAATTTCAATTTTTGCAAATTTGCAAATTTTTTTGCAGATTCTAAAAGTAGAGCACAAGAGCTTTTCAATGATGTATCATTTGTCATATTTGGACACCAAACATGGGATTTAGAGGGGGGGTCAAATTGACCCCCCCCCCCCCCAGCATATCCTGGTTTTCAAGTACCCCAGCAGAGATAGGGTTAATGGGAAAAATGTTCATATATTTGCTAAGAAAATAATTATGTCAACCTTCCCTCAATGTTGCATAATTTCACAAGTCAAGTTTTGGTCTATGAATTACCATTTACGGAGTAAATTTATGTTTAAAAAGTATACAAGAAAAACAGCCAATTTTATGTTTCGAATATTTGACATTAAATAATTGACTAGTTACAGCAGGTTTTTTAATCAAAAACTTTTGAGAGTTAGCACTCATTCGCCAGTCATCAATGTCATGTTAATGAAAATAAAAATTCATCATTTAATTAATCAATTGATTCATTTTAATTAATCAATTAATTAGTTATAATTAATCAATTAATTAGTTCTAATTAATCAATTAATTAGTTCTAATTAATCAATTGATTAGTTCTAATTAATCAATTAATTAGTTCTAATTAATCAATTAATTAGTTCTAATTAATCAATTAATTAATTCTAATTAATCAATTAATTAGTTCTAATTAATCAATTAATTAGTTCTCTTTTTAACTTTTTATTTCTTTGATCAATTTCAAAATAAAATCAAGCGATGAGTTTGGTCATCATGTAATAAAATACATTTCACAAAATAATTTCATTCAGTGATAGCATGATCAACAAGAAAATTTGAATAGAAAACATTTTTCATTTAGAGGCCTCAATTCACTTAAACACTTTAAAATATTTTTCTGACTGCATGGTTGCTAGTTTTTACTCTTTTTTTAAATAAAAAAAATTAATCTTTATCCCAACATTTTATATTAATGAGATGAAAATAGGGTTTTAGGAATATATGATATTTAATGAGTCCAGGAAGAAAGCATCATCACCGGAGTGCTACCGGAGACCTCTTCCGCCACCTTACCGGAGACCCCAACATTTTCAACGAAGACCCCAACGTTTTCATCGAAGACCCCAAATAAAAATGTTAAAATTTTGAAAACTTAAAATGTTTTTGATTGTATAAAATGTTAAGCCTATTCCCGTGGTTCTCCCGAGTTCCACAATTAAAATTTGTTTCAAATCAAGAAAGGGGTTCATGAGTTATGACCGGATAAACAAATAGACAAACAGAGCAAAGATTACAACTTTATGTAAATAGAAAGATATAACGGAACAGGAGAATGGGTGAGGTGGTGGGTTGAATATTGAGATGACATGAAGAGAAGGAGGGTGGAGGGTGGAAAGTTTAATAAGGATATGAATAATAAACACGCACGATAATTTTTAAATTTTTAAAAATGTTGTATTTGTAGATTTCATTGTAAATGCATAAAATAATATCCTAATGTAAAAGTTTATGGTAAAATAAATTCATAAAAACATGCCATAAAAAGAAATTTACGTTTTCAAAAATGTTAATATTTATTTGGGGTCTCCGATGAAAACTTCGGGGTTTCCGCTGACAATGTCAGGGTCTCCGGTATGGTAGCAGTGGGGGTTTTTGGTAGCACTTCGATGATGCGGCTTTCTTCCTACACTCATATTTAATTTGTTTTGATCTGAAGACGACATTATTGCACTACTGGAGTTTATTTAATGCTATTACAAAACAAATTGTTTTACCAGCAATTTATTTTATTTATTAAGTTAAATGGGACTGTTTACACTGCACAATTGCAAATTAATGAATCTCATGGTCTTTGAACTATTTAAAGTCATAACTAACTGTATGACTGTATGTTTTTTTGACAGATATTGAATAAGAGACCAAAATATGCCCTTAAATATTCCAACGCAGACAGGATGAAATTAGTTTTACAAGAGCATTATTATTTTGTTATCTTTTAACATTTAGAAATACTTACAGGAACATCACTTTCTCCTTCGGTCTCAGAATCTTCTCCATCGTCCTTACTAAACATACTAGATATACTAGATATACTAGATATACTAGATATACTAGATATACTAGATATACTAGATATACTAGATATACTAGATATACTAGATATACTAGATATACTAGATATACTAGATATACTAGATATACTAGATATACTAGATATACTAGATATACTAGATATACTAGATATACTAGATATACTAGATATACTAGATATACTAGATATACTAGATATACTAGATATACTAGATATACGGAATAAAGGATGAGTAAAAAAGGTGTGATTAGCGACGTCTTCTCTAAAACATTTTTTTTCATGAAATTTTTATGAATGTTATTTTTGCAACATTTTGGAATATTTTTTTCCCTTTTTTAAACTGACATGGTACCACAAAAAAAAACACAACTTTTTCTTCTCAAAATCAACTGTTTAGGAAAAGTAAAATGTGTCAATTTATAATTTCTATCAAATGATAGAATTTTATAAAAATTGGACTCCTGAAAATGAAGAAAATTTACAATTTAGTTCTAGTGTAATTAACTGTGAAAGCAAGTCTTTTGAGCAGATAAATAAAAGAATGTAAGAATTCCTGCGAGTTTCAGAAAAACTAAAACAATCTTCCAAAATGTTGCTAAAATATCATGCATAAGAATTTAAATGAAAAGAAAACACTTATTTTGACGAATACGACGCTAATCACGCTTTTTTTTACCTACAGACATAGATATGTAAATGTTCTCTAATTATTGTATTTTTTTCTAGATACTATATAGATTGCACAGAGAGGAAAAAAGTAGTTGTTGTTACATAAGTTCTAGAACTTATAGATTGCACAGATAGGACGAAACATATACTGGTTTTAAAGTCATACAACTTACGAATATACAGACAAGAGATGTAGTATTTGTATTAGTTCTTTACAGATTAAACAGATAAGACAAGAGATGGGGTGGATGCATTAACTTTATAATTTTTTCAACCGTCACATGTCCTATCCCTGTAAAATGTAAATAATTTTTTTCTCTTTAAACTTTAAAATTTACGGCTTATGTTACGTACACCGGAAAAATTTACGATTTACGGAATGGAAACTGAAAATTTTACGGTTTCCATTCCGTAAACCAGAAAAATTTCCGGATAACGTCACGTAAGCCGTAAACATTCCGGTTTCCATTTGTTCCAGAATTATCCCGGAATTCCGGTTTACGTAATAAATTTCCGGATCCTTTCATTTCCAAAATGGATATTTTGTTCCGGAAAAATGGAAACCCTAATTTTTACCTGTATATCTTTAGAAGGGTAGATTCTCCTGCTCCGAAAGCTGCAAACCAGAAGGAGAAACAGAGCTGATCAATGCTATCCTTAGATTGTAGAACAGGAGATATCATTCGAACCGTATCCGTTCTAAAGATAAAGAAACGTCAATGAATTTAAAATAGGAATCCACAAAGAAAGTATTTCTATATATACATATATAGTAATATTCTCTGTAAACCGATCATAACTCAGGAACTCTGTAGAACCACGGGAATGTTCTGAGCTTGGTTTGAAATGTCTAAGTTAAATAGGTTAAATAGGTTAACTTTTATAAAGAAAACTTTGTTTTCAAGCAAAGCTAGGTCTGTATATTCTAGAAGTTAGGTCTGTATATTCTAGAAGCTAGGTCTATATATTCTAGAAGCTAGGTCTGTATATTCTAGAAGCTAGGTCTGTATATTCTAGAAGGAATTCAAATAAACTCAGTACTTCTAGTTAATCTTAAATTTAAGTTTAAGATTGTCCAAGACTCAATTATGAAAAAAAGAAAATTTTGAAGTATGCAAGAAAATAAAAATAATTAGTGTTTATAGATTTAAATTACACAAATACACAACTAAAATGTAATTTAATTGATATTTTTGATAAAGACAAATATTAGAGGGATCCATATGAAACAAAAATTTCACAATGAAATTGAGACTTAGACTCAAATTCAAATTTTCTAAACCCTATATTTTTGCTGACTGATGGTGTAAACCTTTTTATATTTTTTTTTACTTAGATTATTTGATCCAGCAGAATTCATAGCTTGAAATATTTAAGGTCTACGATATTCAGGTGCAAAGATATAGGGATTATATATATTCACACTCAAGAACCCTTATTTAACATGTTTACACAAAAAAGTGTGAAAACGTTGAAATGATTTATCTTTTTCATGCTTTCTTGCCTGCTCCCTGTATTAAATATATCAAAGTAAGCATAACCCACAGGAGCTCCATAGGTTTTATCAGGCAGGTTCGCAGGCCGCTTTGTCAGGGTAGCCATTCGCCAATCAAAACTTTCACCCTAAAATCATTCTTAATTTTATAAAAATGATAGAAATAAGTTAATTAAATTATTAAATTTTTACATTTCTACTGCAGGAAAACATTAAGTGATTTTTAAAAAAATATTATTTTTAAACCTTGAAAACTTTTCCATATTATTTGTTAGGTTTCAAGGTTACCGTATTAAATCTGGTATTGACATCTTTCAACTTGAACTTACGCTTACAGTCCCTTTAATATGGAAAATGGGGAACTTGACATTACGCTTAAAGTCCCTTTAATATGGAAATGGGGAACTTGAAATTACGCTTAAAGTCCCTTTAATATGGAAATGGGGAACTTGAAATTACGCTTACAGTCCCTTAAATATGGAAAGTGGGATTGCTAGGGTGGATTTAGAAGGTAACAGTGTCTTACATTTGAGGAGTTTTTCCATCCACAGGAATCCCGATCAAACGTACATTCTCCTGTTACTATTGAAGCAGGCTCGGGTACTGTAACACAGTTACCTGGGAAATATTATTAATATCTTTATTAATATTGAAATTACACTAATTACTAATTTAAAACTAATATATAACTTGTTAAAACATAATTATAAATATTTAAAACAATAGAAAATAATTAAGAAAAGACTAAGATATCAAAAACAGGTAGACTGAATTAATTGATAATTTACAGCTTATGCTTGGTCCTTTATATTCCATAGGCTTATATTTTCTAACATTTATCAACAAGAATAGGAAAAGTATTACTTGAAAATTGTTGTCACTTTTAGTAAATTTGTATCATATCGCAGAAATTTAAAGCAGACAGAAAGAAATTTCCCGCTAGGAGTTGTAAGTACAGTTGTACAGTTTATAATTAGATAACGGCCGGTTTAAAGGGTATCGTTATGCCAATATTCAAAAGTATGACCTCACTTTAAGAAATCCCTTTAAAAATGGGCTTATTTCCTCACCAAGCTATAAGCTCTCAAGATTAAACTACCTTGATAAAACGTAACATCATCAACAGCTATAAATGGGATTATTTCCCCACCAAGCTATGATAAGCTCTCAAGATTAAACTACCTTGATAAAACGTAACATCATCAACAGCTATAAATGGGATTATTTCCCCACCAAGCTATGATAAGCTCTCAAGATTAAACTACCTTGATAAAACGTAACATCATCAACAGCTATAAAACCGCTGGCCCTGTTGTTCCCCCAAACTCCTTCAATAACAACCTAAAACATGTTAATTTATTGTTAAGTTAATATTTGTCAAAACAACAAAAAATCCTTAAAAACCTTTACTGTTTTTGGCTTAGTAACATCTCGCCATATAACATTTTGCCATATAACAACTCGCCTAAGTAACAATTCGCCGGCCAAATAACAACTTGCCCAAGTAACATCTCGCAATATAACATCTTGCCATATTACATTTTGCCATGTAACATTTTGCATATAACATTTTGCCATATAACAACTCGCCTAAGTAACAATTCGCCGGCCATATAACAACTTGCCCAAGTAACATCTTGCCATATAACATCTTGCCATATAACATTTTGCCATATTACATTTTGCCATGTAACATTTTGCCATATAACATTTTGCCATATAACATTTTGCCATATTACATTTTGCCATGTAACATCTTGCCATATAACATCTTGCCATATAACATTTTGCCATATAACATTTTGCCATGTAACATTTTGCCATATAACATTTTGCCATGTAACATTTTGCCATATAACATTTTGCCATATAACAACTCGCCTAAGTAACAATTCGCCATATAACAACAACTGGCCTATATAACAGCTCGCCATATAAAAAAAAACAAAAACAAATTTTTAGTAGAAAGTGGTAGTTTATTAGTAATTTAGTAGAAACTATATGTAATTATTTATATAAAATTATGAAACATTTTTTAGCTATATTGATGAATACATAGATACATATAAAAGTAGATTTAAATTTAGTGTAGGAGAAGTTGTTTATGTCAATCAAAGAAGTGTCGGAATTACTGTATTTGAAGATTTTTGGCTTTTGATTCATGGATTTTCTGGTATAATTTCATTTACACTACAATTTGATTTAAAAATTTATATATAGGCAAGTTGTTGTTATATGGTGAAATGTTTCTTAGGCGAGTTCTTACTTAGGCGACTTGTTATATATCGAGCTATGGAAAAATGTTATATGGCGAGATATTACTGAGCCCTTACTTGTTTCATTTAATTTGGTTCAGGTTAAAAAAATGAATTTGGCTTCAAGAGGATCAGAGCGACATGAATTTTATTTTTATCTAAATAATAAGGAAAATGAAAAATGAATAGTCCCTTTAAAGGTTTGCTGCCTGGAATGTCAGTTAATAGTCCCTTTAAAGATTTGCTACCTGGAATGTCGGTGAATAGTCCCTTAAAGGTTTGCTACCTGGAATGTCAGTGAATAGCACAATTAAAAGGTTTGCTACCTGGAATGTCAGTTAATAGTCCCTTTAAAGGTTTGCTACCTGGAATGTCAGTGAATAAGACAATTAAAAGGTTTACTACCTGGAATGTCGGTGAATAGTCCCTTTAAAGGTTTGCTGCCTGGAATGTCGGTGAATAGTCCCTTTAAAGATTTGCTACCTGGAATGTCGGTGAATTGTCCCTTTAAAGGTTTTCTACCTGGAATGTCGGTGAATAGTCCCCTTACAGGTTTTCTACCTGGAATGTCGGTGAATAACTCCTTTAAAGGTTTGCTACCTGGAATGTCGGTGAATAGTCCCTTTAAAGGTTTTCTACCTGGAATGTCAGTGAATTACTCCTTTAAAGATTTGCTACCTGGAATATCGGTGAATATTTCCTTTAAAGGTTTGGTACCTTGAATGTCGTTGATTAGTCCCTTTAAAGGTTTGCTACCTGGAATGTCAGTGAATAGTCCCCTTAAAGGTTTGCTACCTGGAATGTCAGTGAATAGCACATTTAAAGGTTTACTACCTGGAATGTCAGTGAAAAGCACATTTAAAGGTTTGCTACCTGGAATGTCAGTGAATAGTCCCCTTACAGGTTTGCTACCTGGAATGTCGGTGAATAGTCCCCTTAAAGGTTTGCTACCTGGAATGTCAGTGAATAGTCCCCTTAAAGGTTTGCTACCTGGAATGTCGGTGAATAGTCCCTTTAAAGGTTTTCTAGTGAATAGTCCCCTTACAGGTTTGCTACCTGGAATGTCGGTGAATAGTCCCCTTAAAGGTTTGCTACCTGGAATGTCAGTGAATAGTCCCCTTAAAGGTTTGCTACCTGGAATGTTAGTGAATAGCACAATTAAAAGGTTTGCTACCTGGAATGTCAGTGAATAGCACAATTAAAAGGTTTGCTACCTGGAATGTCAGTGAATACCTGGAATGTTGTATCTGTTGAGATCTGTGTTTGAGCGAAGGCCCAGGAGGGTCCAAATCCATTGTGTAATCTCCAGACAGGGGTCATAACAAGGTTATCCTCACTATTATAAATCAATTCAATAGGGACTGCTCACTTTTTTGTTCGCACACCTTTTCGAAAGTTGCATGCCCGATTCATAAAGGTACTTTTCAACCCTTTATATGAATAAAAATGAGGGAGTCATCATCAAAAAAAGTCCTTTTCTTTGCAAGTATTCTATTAATCAGTATTTAAAATTTATTGATTTACTTAAAGAAAAAGAAAAATATCTTTGTCATTTTTGTTCGAAAAATGTTTTACCGTTGTGAACCAGGCAAGTAACTCTTAAATCGGTCTCTTTAATTGTTCACGGCAGATATCCCTTTAATTGTACAAAACAGTTATCCCTTTAATTGTTCACAACAGATATCCCTTTAATTGTACAAAACAGTTATCCCTTTAATTGTTCACAACAGATATCCCTTTAATTGTTCAAAACAGATATCCCTTTAATTGTACACAACAGATATCCCTTTAATTGTTCATAACAGATATCCCTTTAATTGTTCACAACAGATATCCCTTTAATTGTTCATAACAGATATCCCTTTAATTGTTCACAACAGATATCCCTTTAATTGTTCATAACAGATATCCCTTTAATTGTTCACAACAGATATCCCTTTATTTTGGCTACCAAAACAACAATTTTATCCAACAAAGTCATTCATATTTCATTCTCTCTTCAAAATAGCGCAACATTGAGAATATTTAAATAGTCTAAACATTAAATTGATTACTTTGTTGTAGAGGAATTAATTGATTAAATTCAAATTGATTTTTTATTCAATCTAGTTCTGTCAGTGAAATACCTAGAACATTTTTAATAAACATTCAATGGTGTAAATTAGTTCTTCTGAAGAGAATATAGAATTATTTATCTTTTTGATAACCAATTCTTGTTAATTTTTTCATCTATTTAGAATGCATTAAGGGGATGAATAGAGTAAAAAACGAATTAAAAATTTTCAAATTTTAGAATAAACAATCATTAACGTTGTTTCTGAGTAAAGTAAAATCTATTAAAATAAATAAAAAAAGTATTTCTTAATTTTTTGAAATTTTTTTTTTGAGGGAAAAAATTGGGTGGTGGCCGTTAATATTTTCTTTGAATATAATGCTTTTAAAACCATGACTTTAATAATCATGTTTTACTGTTCTATTGTTATTTAAATAAACTAGGCTTTCAGAGTGCTTCGCGCCCATCTTCTACTTTAATAAAATATTTCTTTTTGTATGCATTGTAAAACAAAAGGACAATTAACATAATAATTTCTTGCTCAGGTCGCCTTTGGCAAAATACAGAGTTCTTATTAACATATTTCTTCATTCATTACTTTTAATTATGCTTGAAAGCATTTCATATTTATATCTATTTCTATACTTTCGGGGTTTTAAATGAAATTTACTGTGGCGTGACTGAGGTTTATTTAAAGGGGGGCCGCAAAAAAAGTTTTGTTGAAACTTGTTTAAGAAATAAATCCTAAAATTGTTCTTTTTAGGATTTAAATGATATCGTTGTGAATTATACATCTCCCACTTTTTAAAAAGATGGTCAATTGAAATGACATGAATCGTCATGTTTAGGTTAATCTGTACCTATCAATAGTCCTTGTCCAGACAGCTAGTTTGCCCAGGTTAGGTCCAGTATTATCCACAATAGGTTCATACATATAGAACCAGAAGGATAAACATCTAGGAATACTGCTACCCTCAAGCTCACGGCTCACGAAAAAAGCTCTAAAAAAGGAAAAATAACAGAAAGTTTAAAAAAACAAAACAATATAGAACGCGAACATTTTGTACGAATTTTGTCTAACTGTTTAATGAGACAGGTGTCTGAATATAGGACGTTATTAGAGCAAAGAGGATATTTGTCCAAATCTAAAACAACATTCACAAAATTCTGCATACTTATGTGGAATAAAGCCTTTCTCTCATATATATTTGTTCGTTTTAACAGGCTTAACGCTTTAACCAAATTGAGTGATATAAGGCGAGGCTAGAAAAATTTGATTTTTTTAAAAGTGTTCTTAAAACCTAGGCAACGTCGGGTACTCCAGCTAGTAAAACTAATATGCCTGTAAAGTTAAGATAAAAATAATTAGAAATATAATTGATTTTTTAAAACCTCAATTTTGAACATTTTCATCTCTTCTTTTGATTGATTGATATTTTAGGCCAACAGCTGGTAAAATTATTTCAAAATTTTATAAATTTATTTCTGGATAAACAAACGCATCCTTTTATTTCATTTAATCCGAACAGCTATAGTATATAATATATATGGTGTACCTACACTATACTAGACACAAGGGAATGTCAAAGAAATTGAGTTTACGCCACAAACTCTAATTTTCTTATCCCTATATTTTTGCAACCTAATGTCGTAGATTAGAAAATTCAAGTTTGTGGTAAAGATTTGATTCATTTACTCAATATTATTGGTAGGTATTTGTGATTTGTGACTTGAGCTCCTTTGTCTTGATTTTACGCGCAAGTCTACGAAAAAGAAATTTTTCTTTTACATTTAGAAATTCAAAACATCTGATACAAATTAGAAATTCAAAAATATTTGATACATATTGGAAAATCAAAAATATCTGATACATATTAGAAATTCAAAAATATCTAATACATATTAGAAATTCAAAACATCTAATACATATTAGAAATTCAAAACATCTGATACATATTAGAAATTCAAAAATATTTGAATCATATTAGAAATTCAAAACATCTGATACATATTAGAAATTCAAAACATCTGATACATATTAGAAATTCAAAATATTTGATACATATTAGAAATTCAAAATATTTTTCTTCTTTTCAAAAGCTCTTGAATAAGAGGAGATATAATTGAAAACATATAAGATCTCAATTTTACATGAAATTTAGATGAGTTTGACGTGGTTTATAAATTGAATTAATCTAAATGAATAAATACCTGTCTCCGGCTTTTTGTAAATTATCCTTTGAGAGTTGGATAAAGAAGCCAAGATCTGTTCCTGTCGTATGATCCGCCAAAGGAAACCTACAATAAATATCTTGTTGTATGATCCTGTGTAATGCAAACTACAATATATTATATATAAATCTCTTGTTGTATAATCATATGGTCCGCCCATCTTTGCTATATAATCGTCCAAGTCTATTTTCCTACCTGGCTCCCTCGGCTGCCGCGGATCTTTCCCAATCTAATTCATCCACGTTTTCGCGCTTCTCAGGATTGCTCCAACCACACTCATCGTCTTCAAATGCACAATCTCCAAGCGCGGGGGCCGCAACCTATAGTTTTTAACAAAACTCTAGAAATCTTAAAAATCTTAAACTTGTGATTTAGTATCAGAACTTGAACTTGTTATTTAGAACCAGAACTTAAACTTGAGCTTTAGTAGCAGAACTTGAACTTTTGATTTAGTATCAGAACTTAAACTTGTTATTTAGTACCAGAACTTAAACTTGAGCTTTAGTATCAGAACTTGAACTTGTGATTTAGTATCAGAACTTGAACTTGTGATTTAGTATCAGAACTTAAACTTGAGCTTTAGTAGCAGAACTTGAACTTGTGATTTAGTATCAGAACTTAAACTTGTTATTTATTTACCAGAACTTTAACTTGAGCTTTAGTATCAGAACTTGAACTCTTGTTATTTAGTAGCAGAACTTGAAATTTTTATTTAGTACCAGAATTTTAACTTGAGATTTAGTGCCAGACCTTTTAGTTTTAGTATCAGAATCAGAACTTTAACTTGTTATTTAGTACCAGAACTTGAACTTGTACTTAAGTAAAGAGCTATGTTGCATGAACAGTATCAAGAGTTTTTGTATGAATATATAATTGGTATCTTATTTTTGCCTTTCTGCGAACAGAACAATCCTGAGAACAAATATGTAATGTTATATTATTGTTCCATACTTCTATAATTAATAAGCAATCAAAAAGATATTATAGGTAAATAAATATCTATTTATATACTTTATTTGTCTGTCTGGAGCCCGCGATTTAAAAAATTCTGGAAAATACGGCTCCAGTCTAAGCTGTCGTTGGGTTTTATTTACAACTTGAGCTTTCGGATTAAAGCTGCATCTAATTTTCCACATATTTGAGTTCAAAAAACCGGTTTAATATTCTATTTGGCGGATTTTCATGGTAGGAATTGACGCATTCCGGGTTTTTATGAGAACAATACTCAACATTGAGCATTATTCTCCACTACAACAAACCAAGGTCGGATTTATTTTCATTGTGCCTAACTCCTTAAGTCGAGCCGAAGATCTTTCAGCGGACCCTTTCTCCGTGCAGCGGTCAATCACGCGCACAAGCTGTCGTCAGAGTTGGGTCGAAGATTGGGTCTTAAAGTCGGGTTTGAGGAATTACGGCTCAAGCCGAAGCTTTTAAATCGCGGGCTCAGGTGTAATTCTTTCTTTCTTTCTTTGTATCCAATAAACGTCAAAACGGCTGAACTGATCGAGCCAATTGTGTTCAAAAGTTTTTGATTTTTGTGAAATGTTGAGAATGCGCGAAAAAGCATTCCGAATTCCGAAAACTTTTTTATATTGTACGACGAGAAGATGTTTTTAAGATAGAACCACAGTTAAAAGTTGAAATATAAGATGGGTGCAAAGCACCCTTAAGCCCAGTTATTTTATATTCCATGATACGGTAAAATTCATACATAAAATGCATACATAAACTCAACTATGCTATCCAAAATGTCAAAATTCAAATTGTTTTTACTTTCTAAATATTTGTGCTACATACATTTAATTTATATCAAGCGAAAGGAAATGTTTCTTAAATTTCAAAAATGTTCTGAATTAAACAAATTAACCACGGTGAGTGCTACCACTATGTCTAAAAGAGCGTTTTTTTGGGACCCCTGTACATAAAAACAATTTATTTGTAAACTAGAATTCATATTAAAAAGAAAATGAGTTTTCTGAAATTTTCTTCAATGTATTAAACTCAACGTTTTGCTTGAAAACATCTCACAAGATTGTTTATACAAAGAGCAAGTCATAAAGTTTGTCCAGTTTTCCGTGAAAGGAAATAAAAGTCAGGGGCGTACGGGGGAGGTGGGGGGGGGGGGCTAGATCCCTCTGTGCCCCCCATCCCCTGGCCCAGAGGTCAAATATTTGAAACTTTTATATACATTGGTTTCTTATCAATTGACAAATTGTCCATTTTCATTTTTCACATTTTTTCAATTATACCATAATCTTATTTACAATTTTTCTTAAAACGGGGTTTTTAGGGGTTATAAACAGCAACCGCTAGAGGGGTGGTGAACAGCAACCGCTAGAGGATTGGTGAACAGCAACCGCTAGAGGATTGGTGAACAGCAACCGCTAGAGGGGTGAACCAAAAAAAAGCTTGACCCTCAGTAAGCTCCTAATAATAGTGATAGTATACCTGGGGTGCAGTAGGACAAACTCCTGGAGCAATTGATATATCATCTATAGCAATGTTACCCAGACTATTCCTACCAACTACTCCCTCAAATACAATCTAAACAGTAATCAATTATATAAAGCTGGATTGTATTCAGCGTAATGACAATGCCCTGCAATGCTGACAATGCCCAGAACGGTAAACTTAAAAACTTTATCCAAGAAGAATTGTGGAAAATATTTTAAAAACATACGCAAGCCACTTTTTCAGAGAAATCCCAAATGAAAACAATTTATAGTTTTTAAAATTATAAACATTGATATCAAATTCATACTTACTCAGACAAAGCTGTCAAAGGTACTGTTTGAAATTACGCGTACAGTTCCTTTACGAATTAAATTTGTGATGAAATAAATGTTCTAGAATTATGAAAGCCTGTTAAAACTTGAGTTTCATAAGTAGCCATAATTAACGGAAAACCCCGTTTTACAAAATAATGAAAATAGCCAAGTTGAAGCTGAAAAATTAGGGAAAACAGCTGATTTTATTATTTTTCTAATATTTTCTATTTTAATGCTCCTAGATCGCATGTTTTTAAATATTTTTAAAAATTAAAAAATCAGTACAACCAGTTTTTCGGTCACAAATAGTCATTTGCGATAGTCAGTTTTGATTAAAAAATGCTTTTAGTAAATGCTGCATAAAACTTAAAAAACGCATTAAAAAACATAAAAAACATACATACTAACCAAAGTTTTCCGCTTTCTGTACTCGGCATATAACGTATCAAGTTTTTATTGAAACTTTGTGATATTGTAAATATTGTAAATATTGCTCAATAACGCAGGTTGGTCGACCTGGAAAGAATATATGACGGTGCACCCAAAGAGGATTGTTTCAATTTCGGACATCAGTGTTTTAAATGCCTTTAATTCAAGCGGGCCAAGAAAACTAAAATATTGTAGATTGGAATAAAGGAGGATATTTTTATTTTTTTTTTATTTTGAACAAAAATTTTTATATTTAGTTTCCGGCTTCTTTTGCTTATTTTAAACTCTAAAATAAACATCAAAACTACTTGCAGTCTCCTGCAAGAAATTTATGAATAATATCAGGAAATAAAAAATAATTCTCTCTTCAGTAGAATAATATGACATGTATAATGTTAATGAATAAAGTTCAATCAATAATATTTTTTTAGATACATGAATGGATTATTAATACATTTGCCTACCCTGTACTTATAAAGAAACTGTAATTTTTGTAGGGTTGGGCGGTAAATAGAACTTTTTAGGAATAGAGGGGTGAGGGGGGAATTTCTTTTTATAAGATCACAGGGGGTGGGGGTAGATTTTTTTTCGCGTGTCGCGCGAATTTCTTTTTAACCCCCCCCCCCTATATTAACTCCTGAACCGCACTCGTTCGTTTTTATTTTAATAATCGTTATTTCTAAGAATTTAATTATGATTTTTTTAACCATAGAAAAAGAGTGTTTGAATCTTTCTGCCACTTAGGGCTGGACAACGTTCCATAAACTAACAACAAGTTTTTAATGTCGTCTTCTAACTTCTCCCGCTATTTTCATAACCAAGAATACGATAAAACGGCTTTAATTCTGCAGGGACAGCTTTGGAAGTATGGTTTTATTGCAAAACAAATAATAGACAAAAAAATTATTCTACTCTCCCCCCCCCATTCCCCCTTCCTCTCCTTTCCTCCCCCTTCCCCCCTAAATGAATTTACCTTAAACTTTTGTATTGAAGATATTGGCGCTTGTCCCATATACCAGTTATTTCCTAAATAGATATATTTTAATACAGGGTGTCCCAATAAACATTGACGACTTCTATATCGGCTTTGTTCCATGCAAGATTTTTTCGTATAATTTTTAAGTATCACAGTTAAAACATTTAACACCAAAATGTGGTCTACCATTTTTTTTACCTTCAAAATTGACGGAGATATTAAGAAAGAAAATTTGTCCAGATTCCAGTTTATAGAAAATCAACAAAACTGTTCAAATGTTTAACAATTCGGTCAATTTTAAAGATAAAAAGATAGTGGGCCAAATTTTGGAAAGCTACTATAGACTTTATGTCATTTATCATTAATTGGAAATTAAGGACGATATTCAAGTCATCTCTCAATTCCCATGTCTATTGGGACTCCCTGTACATAAAATAAATATTGTTGTTTTATTTCGAATGTTATTACTCTCTATATAATACTTTATCTATTTCCCCCGCTATAGAAAATATGATTTAACAGATGTGTTTGTTTGAAATTTCAACAAATGGTAATTTTACAAAATTCTATTTTTTTATATTTTGTTCAAAATTTTAATTCGAGGGGACGTTCAAATTTATATGAATCTGCTTGTTTCGAGCTAAAATCGGAAATTTAGGTTAACGGGGATTCAGTTCGTTAATGAAAGTTTTTTAGCACGTTAACGAGTGTTTTTTTCTTCATTTCATCCGGTGGGGCACAATCTTTTTTTAAATTTGATTACATATGTAATAAATATATAGTTGATAAAAGCAGTAAATATGTCAAAGCGACTATTGACTAATCAGTAATAGATGCTATTTTACTCTTAACGGAAGAGAAAACATTTGTTCTTATGATTCTGATATAGAGGGGGGGAGGGGGAAAGGCCCACCTAGCCTGATTAAGGGGGGGCATGCCCCTCCCTTAAGAAGGCTTGCCCCCCTGTAGGCTGTAGGGGGCAAGAAGTCCACCCTGTTTTGCATTATAGCGATTTATGAATCCTGACCCTGAGCAAATTTAAGACCTCTGATCGTAAAATAAAAAATATGATAATTGAACGTTAGTTTATTGTGCTTATAGTTCAATCAGAGGAATGGTTCAAAACAAGCTGAAAAGAATATTTAGCTTGATCAAAACTATAGGAATAGCAATGTAACAAATTAAAGTTTAAGCTAATTTTTTTCTTTTGTGAGGGGGAGGGGAGGGGCCTGAAAACATGAACTACTTAATGATAAAGTAAATTATTGCTTGAATAAAGGTTATGACTTTGTCCTAAAATCTATTCTGAATGAAGTTAAATCTGCAAAGTTCTAATCCTTCTTAGCACAGATGAAGCAACAGCTTTTACAACCAATGTCTTTCATTCTGCACTCGTTATGTAAACGTAAATATAGGTTATTGCAACTGTAAATTATGAAGCATTTATATGGGACAGCATACAATACACCCTCGCCCCCGCCCCCTTTTTTAAGGCATTTTCTTGTAACTAAAAAAAATGTTTGATAGATTTCTTTTTAAATTCCATATCAGATGGGGTCATACTGAATATCCGGTTGGTAAGGTTAGCTTTTTATATTGTTTGAGTATAATACACATTTTTCTTGCCCCCCCCCTCCCTAACAATTTTAAGGGGGGGGGCGAAATATAAGAGAATGTCTAGTTGCGCGCCTGTATATATTTTGAACCAATTTTAGAGTTTCCATTTTTCCAGATCAATTTAGACCCGTAGAAGCCTTTCGGAACCTTTCCTGAACATGTTAAAAATTATAAACCATTAAAAACGTTCGAAAAGGAACATTTCTCAACCGAATTAAAAATAAATCTACCTCCTAAACAATTCACAAAGCTAGGTTTGATCTGATAAAAACGTTCACGGGATGATTGTTCCGATCTTTATTCCAGGAATATTCCAGAATATTCCAGGAATATTCGTCCCGTAAACTTTTTTCAAAATGTCACACCAAGCTCAGTTAATCATCTAAGGTGTAAATTTTTTTAAGTTGTTAAAGGTTTATAATTTTAACAGCTTCAGGAAAGTTTCCGTACATGGCCTTTCCGGATCCAAATTGCTCCGGAAAAAAAGAAAATCCTACCCACTTTAGGTCAGAAACAATCGGCTTCAGATAAAAACTGTTGGTAATAAGACCCCTCCTGATTAAAAAGGTATGTCCTCACAGCTCAATGAGACTTTAAAATACATAAAAAAGATTTAAAACTCCTCATGCATCACTTTTTTTCTGAGAATCCTAATGGCCAAACTCAGACTTTACAAAGTTGTGAATACATTTTGTATTCAAAGAATACATCAAATCAATTACTAACCTGCGTCCCCTGTCAGCCCCCAGATCTTGCGGTCAGTCTCTCCATCCCGAACATAAACATTCAGTGAACCTATTCCGTTTCCAAACATGTGAGTCCAGAACCTACAAATAATTTATACAGAACCTACAAATAATATATGCAGAACCTACAAGTAATATATGCAGAACCTATAAATAATATATACAGAACCTACAAATAATTTATGCAGAACCTACAAATAATATATGCAGAACCTACAAGTAATATATGCAGAACCTACAATTGTAATATATGCAGAACCTACAAATAATATATACAGAACCTACAAATAATTTATGCAGAACCTACAAAGTAATATATGCAGAACCTACAAGTAATATATGCAGAACCTACAATTGTAATATATGCAGAACCTACAAATAATATATACAGAACCTACAAATAATTTATGCCGAACCTATAAATAATATATAAAGAACCTACAAATAATATATATAGAACAAACAAATAATTTATGCAGAACCTTCGAGTTATATATGCAGAACCTACAAATAATATATGCAGAACCTACAAGTAATATATGCAGAACCTACAAGTAATATATGCAGAACCTACAATTGTAATATATGCAGAACCTACAAATAATATATGCAGAACCTACAATTGTAATATTTGCAGAACCTACAAATGATATATACAGAAACTACAAATAATGTATACAGAACCTACAAATAATATATGCAGAACCTACAAATAATGTATACAGAACCTACAAATAATATATGCAGAACCTACAAATAATATATGCAGAACCTACAAATTATATATACAGAACCTAAAATAAAATATGCAGAACCTACAAATAATATATATATAGAACCTACAAATAATGTATACAGAAACTGCAAATAATGTATATAACACCTACAAATAATTTATGCAGAACCTACAAATAATATATAAAGAACCTAAAAATGAGATATTCAGAACACAAATAATATATAGAACCTAAAAATTATTAACACTCATTATCACAATATTTTTTTGGGAGTTTTTTAGAGAGCTTAAAACAGTCCACCCACCCACAACTAGCTTTTAGTGTGTGCGCTAGGGTTTCCAGTTTGCAAAAAAAGGCGAAAATTTTTAGTCGCATTTCGCGAATTTCGGAATTTTTCGCGAAAATAAATGAAGCGAAATTTCGCGAAAATGTGAAAATTCTTTCGCGAAATGCGAAAATGTTGTGAAAACCATGAGTTTTATAACTGCAACAATTAATTGCTCAAAAGAACTTGCTCAATATTTGAAGTTTTAATTTGTCGATCATATAAATAATTTCTCTTCCTTTACTTTATAATACATGTTTGATGAAGAGAATTTGATTTCACTAGCTATTTTCGCATTATTTTTTCGCGAAATTTTCACATTATTTTTTTCGCGAAACTTTCGCATTATTTGTATACCAAAATTTTCGCATTATTTTTTCGCGAAATTATCACACTATTTTTATCGTGAAACTTTCGCATTATTTTTTATTGAAATTTTTGCATTTTTTCGCGAAACAGATTAAAACGAAATTTCGCGAAAATTTTCGCTTTTTTTGCGAAAATGAAGTGAAATGGTCGCGAAAAATGCGATTTTTCCTTTTCGCTGGAAACCAGGGGGCGGGCATAACTCTCCTAATTTTGCCTGGCTAGGTTTATACTGTACAGTGAATTTTGTCGATAAATGTTTCCATATGACTGAGTTGGTATCATAGAGTACAGTGGGTTTAATCCTAAGTACATCTATTTGTACGGTATTTTAATATTTTTCAACAATGAGATATTGTAGTGTCAAAAATTGTGTAAACAACGATGTTTCGGGTTCAGAAATTTTTCATAACATACGAAAAGAGTGGATAGAACAAGTTATCTGGAAGACAATACACCTAATTTTTAAATGCGGTGAACATTTTGACAACAATTGTTATAGAAACAAAAATCATATGGGCTTGTTTTCTTTGCTTGAATATTGAAGGCTTCACATCTACGAATTATGATCCCCCCAGGTAGAATTTCTGATCGGGTCATTGTGTACAGTGGCTGTACAACAAGAAGTCTAAAATTCCAGATGCCCCCTCTATTACTAATATCTCGATGCTGGAAACCCTTTGTGTACCGCAGTAAAGGTTTGGTGCCGCACTACCAAACCTTTTGTAAGGTAAGACAGCAAGATAAAAATATCTTAATTAAAAGTTCATTAAAAAATATCATAAGGAACACTGCTCAAATATTTTAATCATAATGTAATTATATTGCTGTCATGCGTAATTTCTTTTAGAATAAAATAACAGCAAAAAACATGCATACCCTATCCCGAGTGGGCTATTTAAATGTAATTTTTCCCTTAGAGTTGAGACAGGGGAATGTGAAACATGTCCTTCGTCCAACTTTTCAAATCCAGCCCCTTAACTAAAATGGTTAGATTAGTGGGGTGGTTTTTAAAAAAGTTCAAAAAGTAAAAATTCAGCAATGCCATCTTTGCATGGAGGGTCACATAACATTAGGCTTCCAGTCCCTTAGATTTTGAGTATTTATCTATTTACCTTAAACAAAGTGGACCTTGGTCATCCTCATCTGTTGGAGGGAACTCTTCACTGGTTAGAAGCGCTCTAAAGATAAATAATCAAATAAATTTTTTTCTTCTCTTCTCTTTTGTCTTCTCCTTCGCTAATTTTTATTTTAGGTATTTTTGCAATATTGTCTTCATTTGTTTGAAACTCACATGGTACCACAAGAAAATCCGCGAAACTTTTTTACCGTCAAAATTAAAAGTGAAGAAAAGCAAAAGTGTGATAATAGATAATTGCTATAAAATTCTTAAATTTCCTTAAGATCGGTCTGACCAGTTGAGAGACATATTCATAAGAATCCACAACATTTTAATGAAATAGATCCGATTTATTGTTCAGTTGAACTATACAAATAACACAGTTAACAGTTGAACTATACAATGGTCCTCCATTCTTTAGGTGAAATTTCGGTTTGAAGTTTACTTCTTGGCTTCTAAATAGTTCATAATTCCGCATAGCTTGATCTCGATATTCACTATGGACACTTTTAATTTGAGGATCAATACTTAATCTCTTCATTTCAGTTATCTCTTCAGCTAGTAAAATTAAACTGTTGGATAATAAAAGAGTATTAAGTTAATCTGCAGATTAACAAAACATCGAAATCAATTGCAATTATCTTGATTTTCACAATACAAGAGTTCCCAGCAAATTAACAATTTTTAAAAAATAAAAAACCTGCCTGTCGTCCGGTCGTCTAGGATAGCTTGCATCAATGAAGGCGAATGCCCCTGTGATTCTGTTGGTTGAGAAGCTAGAATGATCTCTCTGTGGACCAGTATTAGGGTTGTTACTACCTCGGCCCTAGACAATCAAAATTGTGTTTTTTAAATTTTTCTATTTATTGAACTAAAAAGTGGAAAAATTGAATTTTACTTTTTCGTACAAAAAATGTTTCTCTTTATTTAATCATTTTTCTTAAAAGAGACTTTAAGCGTAATGTTGAGTGACCTTCCATGCGTAGAGACAATGTCCAATTTACAATTTAAAATCTTTGTCTGATAAATAATGTGGAAGATATTGTCGTTTTTCTTGGTTTGAAAGTGATTAATCCTGATAATTTGTATGCATTTTCCTGCAGTAGAAATGCACAAGTCACATCAAGTTTTTCTTTGGCTGTCAAACTCCACTTATATAGAGAAACCACAATTAAAAATAATAATTTATAAACTATAAAAAACAATGATACGTCATTCATCTTTGATATTTATTGGATAAAGACAAACAAAGCCACATTTATAAATAGATTAGAATATTAAAAGCTAGGTTTCTTCAAATCAAGGTTATATAAAAGGTTAGATACTCTGGGTGCGCTCCAAAGTGGGTAAATGTCGTCATTTTGCATGACGTCACTGAAACTTAACTAGCTATCCTCACATTTAACAAATATTGATTGTGTTTACAAGTTTGAAGCTAAAAAAGCAATTCAAATTCAGTTTTTTTTATATTTTGAGTTCGTTTATGTTTAGTGAGTCGCAAAATTTATTATTCTTTAAAATAAGCAGTGACGTCATGAGGTATTTGAGTGTCTATTGTTATAAAAGTCTTCTTTACCTATATTGGAGCGCATTCAGAGTATCTAATCCTAATATACAACCTTGCTACAAATGGATGCAAGTTAATTAACCAGCCGTTTTAAAGGTTTAAAGGTATAAAAAGTCAGGTAAACTACTGGCAATATCATTTTCTCGGTAAATCAATTGTCACTAATTATTATAATTAACATCAACTATAGATGAAATAAATCCATTATCCACTTACCACTTCCCAGTTGAAGTTCCCCTCAGCCTCGTTCTTAAACCCACAGAGTCCAGAGTCAAACGTACAATGACCAGAACATTCATCTCCTGCCTTTAAAACAATTTAAAAAAATGTTATGTTTTTGTGATGTATTTTCAATAATTAAGTAATGTGTTAATGTTATGTAAAGTAAAGTTAAATAAAATAATTATGAAATAAGTGATTTTAAAAACTATTTTAAAAAAAAGTGGATTTAAACATAATGTCTGCATAGTGTGCACGTGCCAATATTATTTAAACCATTAAATTATAATATTTCCAAAATATTCTTAAAATTTGTAATGGAATTGAGTTTTTGCCACAAACTCAAATCTTCGGATCCCAATATCTATTCAACCGGACCTGAGATGGAATTTAAAGAATTTGAGCCACCGTTTAAATCTGCCAAAACCCGGTTTAAATTAAGCGCCGGCTTAAATCTTACAATTATATTTAAAGCATGAATATGATTCCAATTGCGAAACATACACAATAATAATATTTTGTTGAAAACTCAGAGCCTTCCCACAACTCATGTTGTAATTCCAATTGAGGTGTTTTAAAGATTCTACGTATTGTTTTTAGCTAAACCATTAAACATTATTATGATGAATTTTGTGATTAAAAATAAAAACTATAAATAAAAAAAATCAAAGATTTGTTTTGAAATTAATTAAAGCTTGGTTCTTTCTGTTATTTTTTTTTAAAGATTTGAAAGAAAGTTTGTAACCCTCTTTGTTAAAAAAATTTTTTTCTGCGTATTTTTTTTATAAATATATACTTTTTGGAAAACTAACTAATTACATTTTGATTAAAATAGGAGAATAAATTAGCTTCAATTACGTACAATTAGATAAATGCTTTAATATTTTTTAAACTGAGATAAACTTGTTCAGAATTCTTTTAGAAGGACTGTAAGCGTACCATTGCCGGATTCACAGAGGTATCCAGGATACCATTGCCGGATTCACAGCGGTATCCAGGATACCATTGTCGAATTCACAGCGGTATCCAGGACACCATTGCCGGATACTCAGCGGTATCCTGGATACCATTGCCGGATTCACAGCGGTATCCAGGATACCATTGTCGAATTCACAGCGGTATCCAGGATACCATTGTCGAATTCACAGCGGTATTCTGGATACAATTGCCGGATAAATAATGTAAAAGACATATTTAATAGTTGTTTCTATGTTTGAAAGTATTTAATTCTGATAATTATTTCATGTTTCCCTGCAGTAGAATGCGCAAGTCAATATTTTGAGAAACATTAGTTAAAAATAATCAGTTTCAAAATATTAAACATTAATATCTTATTCATATACTTGATCAGACAAAGGTTACCAATGTGAATCGGGCTTTGCAATCTTTGCATGGAGGGTCACTTGAAATTAAGCTTACAGTCCCTTTAACAACTGTACAAACTAAACCATAGGATCCTATTCCAATGTGTGGGTGAAATATTTGATAGAATAGAATGTTTTAATAGAATTTTCTACAATATCTAAAATGAAAATTTAACGAATTATAAGAATTTGTTATAGTTGTACTAGATGAGGGGAGGAAGGCCAGCCAAAAAATTTCTCGTCCGAGCCACATTCTCCTAATTTTTTCCTCCGAGCCATCCTGAAATCCTCGTCCTTTCATTATTATGTTCTTAAAGTGTCCAATCTGTGAAGATAAACTTATTTTTTAAAAATCTGACCACGTTAGGGCATACAAAATGGTTAGTCTAAAGTATTGCATTGATTACAACATGTTAGTATCTTTGAATCCATAAGAATGATATCAAACTTATTAAGGTGAAAATTAAATCTCTTCTCCCTACATAATGGCTAACCTACACGATATGAAACAATAGCAAAATATTTGTTTTACCGCTGCCAATTATTTATCCCATGGAAGCACCGGGGAAAATTCTATGGATTTTGATATAATATTGAAAAAAGATGGATTTCTATGAAGAACTCGGAATAAATGGCGGCATTTTATACTAAGAATATTAAAAATGCGCGTAAAAAAGTGAAACATTTGGAAGGACATAGAATTTTGAAAAATCAATTGAAGCTATCTTTTCGATTTAAAAAAATCAATGTTTTATAGCTATGCCCAAACGTGGCCCATTTCTTAAAAATAGTTTTATCTTCAAGGTTTGGACACTTCAAAAATAATATTGGCTGTGGCTTGGACGAGAAATTGTCGTGGCTTGCCTTCCTCCCCTCACTAGATACATTTATCCAAAAGCTCAATATTTAAACATCAATTATGCAAAATCAACGTAAACGTAAAAATCCAAAAATAAAAATTGTTAAAAATGTTCTCTAAAACACATAAAACTGGAACTGCATTAGAATTACTTCAAACGAGCAAAATATTAACAACCAACAATAAGGTTGGTCGCTTTTTTATTCTGTTAATCTTGATTAAAATCCTGCCTCTTTTGTGCAATAAAAATTATATGAATGAAAATCTACGTGATTTATTTATCTCATATTGGGGAATTCTACGAGATTTATTTATCTCATATTGGGGAATTCCATGCGATTTATTTATCTCATTGGGGAATTCTACGCGATTTATTTATCTCATATTAGGGAATTCTACGCGATTTATTCATCTCATATTGGGTAATTCTATGCGATTTATTTATCTCTTATTTGGGAATTCTACGCGATTTATTTATCTCTTATTGGGGAATTCTACGCGATTTTTTCATCTCATATTTGGGAATTCTACGCGATTTATTTATCTCAATTTTCAAAATTCAAGGCATTTTGACATGACCCTAATTATTACATTCGACTAATTTGAAGAATTTTTGAACTTAATAAACCAAAAAGTACAGATATAAATATAAATATTATCTTAAAAGTATTTTTGTTAAAGCTGTTTACCTTGAAAACGATATCATCTACTGCCATATATCCTCTATACCGTCTTGCTTGATTAGACTCAGATACTGGAATTGCCTCAATTATCAACTTAAAAAAATTATATTAGCTTTTCTTCTCCTTTTCCCCTTAAAATGAGGTTTTACATTTATAACCTTTTTATCCTTTAAATAAAAAAGTTTAAAGTTTTCAGCGTAAAAAAACTGATTACTCCACATACTATCTAATTTTTTAGCCTTCATTGCAACCTGATTTGTTAAAAAATGAACTCCTGTTTATGTTTTTATATTTATTTGTCTATGTAAATGTTTAGAATACTTTAATCCCTCTTTACTCCAGGAAAATCAGATATAAACCACTTATATACCCTACACTTTATACTTTATTACTTTTTAAAAAGAAATATAAAAAACATGACATTAATTCAAAAATACAGGAAAACAAATCCAAAATTATCAGAAAAATTACTTGAAATTGTTTCTCAGCTGAATACACATTTTAGAAGTTACCCCGAATTTTGTTTTTAGATTTTAATGTTGTACTTTTACAAAATAAAGTATTTTCGAGCGCAAAAGTAAAAAAATTAAGCCCAAGGGCCATTAATTCAAAAAATACAAGAAGATAGAGTATATATTGTAGACTGTAGCAAAAACATCTAATGAACCTGTTTAAATGTAAACAAAAATATTATTGTTTGCATAATTGGAGTTTGTTTAAATCAAGGAATGTAATATGTCGTCTTTGCAATAAGGACAGAGAACCGGGTTTAAAGGGAATCTGAGCCCAAAACTTAAGGCAGGGTATCGTTTTAAAAATCAGTTTTGAAACCCGGGTTTCACGAATGGGGTTAGGCAGTTTTGTAGATATCAATATTTTATGAAATATTATATTATTTAGTTTCTTCTTATTCTCCTTTTTTCGAATCTCTTAAATTAAAATCTACTTAAATGTTATAAGACCCCGAAATGGAAACTCGGGAGTTTCATTCAACGATACTCTTTTAAATTTCGGGCTCTGAGCCCAAAACTTAAGACTGGGTATCGTTATGAAAACCAGTTTTGAAACCCGGGTTTCACGAATGGGGTTTAGGCAGTTTTGTGGATATCAATATTTTTGTTACATGAAATATTGTTTTATTTAGTTTCTTCATATTTTCCATTTTTTTCGAATCTCTAAAATCAAAATCTACAAAAATACTAAGACCCCCAAAAAAAAACTCGGGAGTTTTGTTCAACGATACTCTTTTAAATTTCGGGCTCTGGGGGTTAGGTACAGATCGAATGGTGACAGTACTGTACACATTAAACAATCTGTTTAAAGTTTTTTCTCGACCATTAGCATGAAACAGTGCTGATAAACACTACAAATCATAATATATATGAGAAGGTTTACAGTTCTGAAGTGTGGATCAATGTCGTAAACCTAAAAAAATCCTATGGGCACAACTACACTATATTTAATCAAAACAGGAGAGCTTAAACCCGAGGTAAGACCATAACATAAAATTATTTTTCTAAATTATTTACATTTAAGACTTTTCGAATTGAATAAGTATTCTTGCATCAGCGCTGGACTCCATGTAATTCTTGTGCAGAATTGTACGACATAAGAATTGAGGATGGGACAATAGATCAACCAACGCAAATTTTGTACTGTAGAATGTCCGATATTCTGAACTTATGACATTTTTATTTACTTTAAAGGAATATTTTTGAAAAGCATTCTTTTCAAATTAATTCTAATAAGTTCTCAGAAATTTTTTTAATTTGCTATAAATTTTTTTAACCATAACTTTAACCTTGATCATTGTTCAGGTTTCATGATGCCCATACAATTGGAGATGATGGACTATATAAGAAAACAATTTACGGAAAAGAGAGTAACTGCACGAAGTTCACACATGAAGAAATCATTGAGAAAGAAACCAGCAGAGTACTTCACAATAAAGAAAACAGCAGAGAACTTCACAATAAAGAAAACAGCAGAGTACTTTACAATAAAGAAAACAGCAGAGTACTTCACAATTAAAGAAAACAGCAGAGTACTTCACAATAAAGAAAACAGCAGAGTACTTCACAATAAAGAAACCAGCAGAGTACTTCACAATAAAGAAAACGAAATGAAAATCTTGTTTTTTTTTCTTATGTAAGGTAAAATTGATTGTTTTGGTGTGTATGAGGGATTTGCCCCCCCCCCTCTTGATTCAATAACTTCATTATAGAAACTAAATGATTTTTTTCTGATACTAATAAATGTGTCAAACTCAATACTTTTTAAAATTGATTGAGATATATAGACCAGTATTACCATAGGTACAACTATAGGTCGTATCTATCTATCTACACTGCTCGGAGCTGAAAACTTTAGAATGGGATATCTTAAATTCTGATCAGTTAACTAATCTGGAGATTAATAATAAGAGGAGAACAAGCAATATTTAATTTAGAGATTAAGAAAAAGAGTGGATCAAGCATTTATCCCGATATCAATCATTCAAAACTTCCCAGCTCTGATGAAGCGTAACCATAGTGTGACTTTGGATCTACTTATGGCGGTTGAACGTCTAAGAAATTGGCCAAATTGTGTACACATTGTACCGCTTTAATTTTAATACTTACAGTATGCTCCTCTGGAAATGTGTACATCACTTTCGCGGATTTCCATGCACCTCTAAAATAAAATAAAAAATTATAGCTTACATAAACGGATTTTTTAGCAATTTGATTCATTCAATTAAATATGGTGATAAAAAAGTGACCAAATCAAATCCATAGTTGAACAGATCAATCAACGAGGTTAAAGTGTTAACCATCCAATTAAAAATTTCTCGTGGTAATTTTAAGCTTGAAAATTAAGAAAACCAAATCATAGCTTTTATGAATGGAAACCACAAATCTGTGTAGTTTAACATATTTTACAATTAAATTCTCTACACGTTTTCTTTTATTACTGCATGCAAATCTATTATGCAAATCACTTTGTGCTAATCTATATGCAAAATAATATTCGCAAATTGATAGAAAACAAAGTTTTGAATAACTTCATAGATATTTTAAGCCTTTTGAAAGCCAAACATTTTGACTTAAACAGACAAAAATGATGCTTAACTTTAAATCTTTTATATTTCTGCCAAAATTGAAGTACCTTGTATCATCTAGAAGACTGGCCAATACAACATCGTTAGAGAAATCAGCTGAATCTGGATCCTCCCTGAAATCAAAATGGCTGATTTTTAAGAGCAATTTCTTTTCATGTTTTTGCTTTTGATAGTGATTCTTTAACAAGTATAATTCTGTTCTGTTTATATTCTATTTCATATTTCTAATTTGTCTTTTTTATCTTCACGACTGTTATAATTCCATTAGCTTTTTTATTCTTTTCCTATGTTAAATAGGGATTTCTTTTATTGCATTTTATTCTATTCTATATTATTCTATTTCTATTCTATTCTATTTTTATTCTTTTCTATTATATTTCAATTCTAGTCTATTTCTATTCTATTTCTATTTCTATTTCTATTTCTATTTCTATTTTATTTTATCTATTCTAAACTATTATATTCTATTTTATTTTACCTGTAATCAACTGGGTGAAGAAGAATACGCAATCTATCAGCAGAAAGACCAGAAATTGCGTAACTAAAAGTTACGCAATGTCCACGAGAACCTAAATTACGCAATTGTAAAAATATATTGTACTAGCTTGTGAACCAAGCTTCGCCTGGAATCTAAGTACTCCCTACAAAAAAGTCTTTCAAACCAAGCAAAGAACATTCCCGTGGATCTCCCAAGTTTCCCTCTCAAAATTTGTGGCAAATCGGTCAAGGGGTTCCTGGTTTATGATCATACATCCAAACAAACTAACACACATAATTTATAAGACTTATATATGTAGATAATAAGTATTGTTTTATAGGTCAGTTATGATTATTATATGTCATATTATTAGATTATATTATAGATTGTATGTTTTATTATCCTAGAATCAATAAACAGATACCAATCAGTCCTTTTTTATAAATAAACGAAATCATTACATACATATATTGTAATCTAACAATCAAGTACAATGGGTGGCACTGAAGACTACAGGGTGTCCCATAACATGTTGGATCGTGTATATATCTAAGCTTCAATTTTCGGGACTAATCAGAAAATTTAAAAAGTATGAATCATTTTTAAAAAATTATTGAAGGCTTCTATATATAAATTTGGCTTGTCTGTCTGTCTGTTTGTTTGTTTGTACCCAATAAACGTCAAAACTGATCGGGCCCAAATTTTTTTAGGGACATCCCGTGACCACAGGGAAGGTTTATGAATGATAAAAATCTAGAAAAATGCGTTTTAAAGACTTTTAATTTTGTAAAAAAAAAATTTAAGTTCTTGAAAATCCGCGATTTTTTTTTGATAATCCGCAAAAAAATTTTCTTCTTTGTTTTAAAATGCAAACAAAAAGAACATGTTCACAATTTAAATAGAAGATGGGCGCGAAGAGCCTTAAAAGCCTGATATAAAATAATTCAAATGGACTTTTGGCTTTAAAGCTTGGAGATAATCAAGGTTGTATAATAAGGTTAGACACTCTGGATGTGCTCCAATGTACTAGAAATGTCGTCTTCATAGCGACAATTTAAATAGAAGATGGGCGCGAAGCGCCCTAAAAGCCTGATATAAAATAAATGTGTGCGTATTTTGGCTTTAAAGCTTGGAGATAATCAAGGTTGTATAATAAGGTTAGACACTCTGGATGTGCTCCAATGTACTAGAAATGTCGTCTTCATAGCGATGGACACTTAAAATTCTCAAGAGGAGACATTTCTTCCCCCCTCTCAGCCTCCGTACGTTACGTTATATGAGTCATCAAGAGTATCTTACCTTAATGATTTAAGTTTTGATTGTTAACAAGCTTTTTCAAATTACAAGTTAACAAGTTAAAAGTGACGCTTTTTAACTGATAAATTCTCTTAAGACTTCTATGTTTATGTGTATCCATGCTATTTAACAGCTTGATAAAAATCAAAATTGAAATCGAAAGTCGTCTTCATTGTTTTGATATAATCGCTTACCACCGTATGATCATATGGGATGCTTTATATGTAAACTTTCAGTACAGCTAGCTGTATTTACTTTAAAAAGTTCAAGTTACGCTTAATTTAGTCCAATTTTTGTGTTTTTTCTTTTCTCTTCATAAACTGTTTCATTTAGTGTCCGATCTTACATAAAAAGAAGGTTTTATTCCGTGTCACATTTTAGCAAATGATTATTGCATAATTTAACAAAATCCTCTTCCTCCCATTGTACTTATTAATTATTTAGTTTAGCTCATCTAAAATGTGCTAAAGGTCTGTGTACTGTTGTGAATCGGACATTGCCGCATGGAAAGTCATTTTAAATTACACTTACAGTCCTTATAAGATATTTGTTCTAGTAAAAATTCTTGGAAAATATAGAAAAATGATTATTTGATAACAAATTTATAAATGTTGCAATATGTTTCAGAAGGAACTTTTATCGAATCATTGACACCTTCAAACAAAGCAATAACAACCATTTTATGGAAATGTTGATTAATTAATTGAATTACCTGTAGTGCCTAGTAATGGGGATTCAATCATTGCTGATACAGTATTAGTACTCTCAGCCTGAGGAAGAGTAGATGTTTCAAAGAACACATATCCACCATTTTCATTCTCAACCGAGGTGTCAGTCCTGGAATATTTTAATTTAAAGGGACTGTCGGTGGAATTTAACGCGAACACGGTAAACTGGAGGTTCTGGTTTGAAAGTCCATCCATCTTAACTTTAGACCCTCACTTTACCCATACATGTACATTTTTCATATTTATAATTTTATACCTTTTTCTTTGGTCTATTATGCTCTCTGAAACTATTTTTGGCGGCATTTTAGTAAACGATCAAAATATGAGCATTTTTCTAAACAAACAGGATGTACTTAGATCTAGTTATTTTCTAAACAAACAGGATGTATCTAGTTATTTTCTAAACAAACAGGATGTACTTAGATCTAGTTATTTTATAAACAAACAGGATGTTCTTAGATCTAGTTATTTTATAAACAAACAGGATGTACTTAGATCTAATTATTTTTGCCTTAGAGGGTATGTCCCATTTTCAACGGTACCATTAACCTGTAATCTTGTAGAAAATCTGGAATAAATCGTCGTTTTTCTAGTTTTAAAAGTGATGAAAAGTTTGATAGAAATAATAATCAAAAATAATCAATTTTTGGAGAGAAAATTAAGTTTTTTAATCAGACAAAGCTTACAAGGATACCGTTGTGAATTGGACTAAAAGAGTAACATACAATAACGTCTGTAGTCCCCTAAATAGGAAGGCCGGATCATGGCCATTGAAAAGCTAAATTTAAAAACTATAGGATAACGAATTATGTTTTTATGATCTCAGGAACACATTAGACCGGAAGACTAAATTGTGATCCTAACTTCGAGTGTTGGGATGTTCTGTGCATTTAAAAAAAGGTGAACTATCCCTTTAATAATACCTTGGACCCCCTATCCAGTATGCATCAGCTCCCTTGCTTGCAATCCACTTTAGAACTGTTGCATTCCCAAGATTATCCCATCCACACATAGACACCTCAGCATCGGACTAAATTCATTCAAAATACAGTGGTTAGCAGAATAAAGCGGAATGTAAGTCGGCTTCGTATTTAAGTAATTTGTTGCTCTGAAAAATAGCCCTCAGGTCTGAACTTGTGTGTTGTAATATCGAAAACAGGCACACCAATTTTAATTCCTATGAGATATCCCGTGGTGGCCGTTATACTCTCAAGAATAACTGTATTTGAGGGATGTGAGGATAAGGATAACCGATACTCAACACAACAGTTCCAACCTCTAAACATATGAAGAGATGTTTCCAATCAAACCGAAGACGACTTTTAATCCGGTTTATTTTGGTTATCACTGTATTCTTAGAGTTAGTAGAGTTTCAACTAAAAGTTACAAGGATTGTTATTCGGAGGCTTGCTTGAGATTGAATAGGATGATCTTTATAAACTTCATCCGAAAAAAAATATTTTAAAAAGCAGTTCTTTCCTGGTTAAGTAGAAAGTACTTTAAATGTGAACCAGATTTAAGCAGACACTTTGATGTGCAGGATTTTTGTTGATTTCAATACAGTAAGAACCAGAAACTGTGGAATAGTGAGACCAATTTAATTAAAGCAATGTTGTTACAAGGTCTCACTAGTAAGTTATCTAATACAGTAAGAACCAGAAAACTGTGGAATAGTGAGACCAATTTAATTAAAGCAATGTTGTTACAAGGTCTCACTAGTAAGTTATCTAATACAGTAAGAACCAGAAAACTGTGGAATAGTGAGACCAATTTAATTAAAGCAATGTTGTTACAAGGTCTCATTAGTAAGTTATCTAATACAGTAAGAACCAGAAAACTGTGGAATAGTGAGACCAATTTAATTAAAGCAATGTTGTTACAAGGTCTCACTGGTAAGTTATCTAATACAGTAAGAACCAGAAAACTGTGGAATAGTGAGACCAATTTAATTAAAGCAATGTTGTTACAAGGTCTCACTAGTAAGTTATCTAATAACTAAACTAAATGGTATCATGATCAAAAGCTTTAAACTCAATCACCTTAAAGTCACAGTTAGCCGCGGTATTAAGATCTTCTGGATTCCTGGATAAAGCTGGAAATTGTCTTCCAACACTACTACCCACACGAACAGTAGTTGGTTCACTTTCCTTCTCCTGGAAATAAAGAATTATTTTATTTTCTAATAATTGTTTTTGTAATATATATCATCCCACGTTAACACATATATATTTTTATTTTGTATATCTAGTCTTTATATTTATATTTATGATAAAATGCTATTGACAGAAGATTAAGATTATTAATTTTATAATAAATTTTATTGAGACATTTTTGAAGGAAATAAACTTTTTGAGATTTTTATGAAAGAATATTTGGTAAAAGATAATTTATTTAGGTGTTTTGAATTAAATATACGCTAAAGTTTTATATTAATTTATAGCATAAATAATCATATAATAATGTACAGTGTGTCCCAATAAACATGGGAATTAAATCGTCTTTGATTTCGAATAATCATAAAATGTCAAAGAGAGTATAAAAAATGAATGTACGTCTTATGAGCTTTTCAAAAGTTGAAGGAGATATTAAACATTTGAAAAGGATTTTTTTAAGCCCTATATCTTTGCAACCTGATGGTGTAAATCGGTGATATTTTAAAGATTATTTAATCTAACAGAATTCATTGTTTGAAATATTAAAGGTCTACTAAAACGGATTGCTAAGATAGACGGGAAAACTTAGAGTTTGAGGCAAAAACTCATTTCCTCTTGTATTCTTTAAAAAAATAAGAATCTAGACAAAGGAATTGAGTCTTTGCATGAATTCAAATTTTCGAATTTCTATATTTTTGGAAGCAGAGGACGAATTTAAAGAATTTGTGCCGCGTCTTAAATTTGAGACGCTACTCACACATGGTTGGTTCCGCTTCAAATTGTATTCAATTTTTCAAGATTTAAGCCGGCGCTCAATTGAAACCGGTTTTTGGCAGATTTGAGACACGGCTCAAATTCATTAAATTCGTACACTGATTTGTTTAAACCTTTGGTAATTCAAACTTCGATTATTTTTGATCTAACAGAAATCACAGTTTGAAATATCTAAGTCCTACATCATTGGGTTGCAAAATTATAGAGATTAGAAAACCAGAGTTTGTGACAAAGCTATTCATTTTCTTTCTCAATATCTCCGCAAAGGTTCAAAAACGTCTGACCACATTTTGGAGATCCCAAGACCAGTAGTCTTCGATGTTAAATATTCTAACTAAGATACTACTAAAATTGTATTTACGATAAACAAAGACGATATAGAAGTCGTTACTTTTGTCCCATGTTTATTGGGACACCCTGTAAAAAATGTTAAAATGTTACCAGCTGAGGCAAACCAAATACAGCACTGCTGCATATCAGAGTTAGAATGAACCCCAGCATTTTTGAAAACAAATCTGAAAACAAAACTTATGTATAGGTTTGTATTCAAATGTAAAGATGGATCTTGGTCATCGGATTTTTTGTTTTTAAAACTTTCCGGGTTTTTTTAGACTTTCAGGAGACTCTACACATCTTTCTAAATTAAATTATTTTTTACACTTCTAGCTTGGGAACCTAGCTTTGCCTGGAGTCAACTTAAAACTTTTTAACCAATGTAAATTTGAGGGAAATCGGTCCAGGGGTTCATGAGTTATGATCTTGACTCTGGCAGAAGATATACCACTGCAAACTAACCAGAAGGAGAAATTACATTTATGTGACATTACTGTTACGACTTTATAACTTCATAGCTCCTGTAGTTTCAATTTTACGGCCAAGGATGAGAAATGCAAATTTATCCGGTCACATCATACATGTAATATATTCAAATCATTTATCCGGCCACATCATACATGTAATAAATTCAAATTATTCATCCGGTCACATCATACATGAAATAAATTCAAATCATTTATCCGGTCACATCATACATGAAATAAATTCAAATCATTTATCCGGTCACGTCATACATGAAATAAATTCAAATCATTTATCTGGCCACATCATACATGAAATAAATTCAAATCATATATCCAGTCACATCATACATGAAATAAATTCAAATAATTTTCTCATTCTTCTCAATAGCTCTTCATAAACAGGCGTTATAATTGAAAATATATAAGATTTTAACTTTACATCCAAGTTACTTAGTTTAACGTCATACTATTTGTTTTGATATTTTTCACAATTTTATGATATCAACTTTGAAGAGAATAAAATATTTCAGATTTTAGAGCAAGTAATTTGCAACGATAAATTACTACTTAACCGAGGGAAAACCACTTAGCCCAGCTAGGTGGTTTTCCCTCAAAAATGATATTGCAGTATATTGGTCACGTGTCTCTGTATGTAACACATGACCAGTAAGTATACTGCACTCTCATTGGCGGGAGTTATTGTGACGTAATACGGACTTATAAATAATATTATCAATTATATCTATTAAAAATAAAGATAAAAATTATTAAATGATAATTGGAAAAAACCTAAGTTACAATTAGGTTTCTCTGGGATATCTTTGTTTTCAGATTAGTTGCGGATTTGCTGAATATGATCTGTTTAAACCTACTATTTCTATCAAAATTGTATATATATGAATTTGCGTATAAATTTGACACAGTTTTATATAAATTTCTGGAAACAGGAACATCAGATATAACTTTCATGGGTCGCGATCAAGATCTAAAGTGATTAGCTCTCAACCTATACCCCCTTTCATTTTTCCTTTACAGTTCCCTTAAGACAGTATAAACTGTTCTAAGTTTCTAAAGGTTCATTGAACCTTCAGGAAATCAATGTCTTGAAATGTCTAGACATGAACTATCATTAAAGGGACTGATGTCGTATTTTCATATGACCCTCTATTTAAAGAGGGGTTCACAATTCACAATTCGACACCCTTGAAACCTTTAATTGATGAATTATGTGAAAGATAAAGTCGTTTTTCCAATTAAAAAGTAATTCTGATAATTTCTCCATCGTCTCTAATGCAAGATATGCACGTTTAGAAAAATCGCAAGTAAAAATAATCAGTTGAAAAAAACTAGTATATCTAATTCATATTTGATCAGACAAAGTTTTTAAGATTTTTTTTATAGAATCCAATATACCACTCTATCAATGGAAATTACATTTAGTTACTTAAATTTTTCTGAAAAAAGGAATATTTTTGTGAAATACTTGCATCAGGGGCGTACGAGGGCTTTTGTTTAGGGGACCCTGACTTGCATTAGAGAAAGATGTATGACGCGCCGACCGGAAACTGACTTCCGATTTAAACAACAGACAAACTACAATGATTTTAATTATTTGTTTTAAAATTGAAAAAAAGGAAAACCAAACTTACGAGAATAAATGTCGTCTGCAGTAATTATAACTGCATAAATTAACTTTTCGTCCAAAATTCAACAGAAACAACAACTACTATTAAAGTTCACAGCAAGATCCCCCCCTCCACCCCTCGATGTAATTTTTATTAAGTTATCAAGCAAATGTTCTTCCTGTAATCGTAATAAAAAAAACTGTGGTTTTCAATAATTCATTTGGTTTATGATTAAACGATCTGGTTTCTGTGAGCCCTAACTGTCAAGTCTATTTTAACCATTACAGACTTTTCGTTTATCAGTTTCAAGCTTTAATGTTTGACATAAAAGTTTTGAATATTAAAGCACATATCTTTGTATTTGGATCTTTACAAAAAAAACAAGATTTAATTTCTATAAGCACAACAAGAGGTCAAAACTTTTATTGTAAATCTCGGGATTAAGAAAAATACTTGTGTTTGTCGGATTAACTTAACTCCTCTCGTATATCACGTGATCCGAATCCATGGCATGGATAACTAAAAGATTAATAGTTGACTCGAAGTGAAAATCGAGATCAAGTTTAGCGCTATTTCAGACAAAAGTTTAAACCTCAAGCTTTAATAAATAGATTTTATCCCATGCCTTTAATTCCAACAATTCAGAGAGAGTAGATTTTTATCAAAAACCTCAAAATTTAGATTTTCAATTAAACATGGATCATTTCATGGATATCTCATTCAATAATGGTATATGGAGTATGGACAAAGCTTTTATGAGTACAGTTGTGAAATGAACATGCCACTTCTTCAAGTGGGAGGTCACCTGAAATTACGATTACATTATGCACTTACGAAAGTATTGGGGCTATTATTATTAGTTCAAATTTAAAGCTGAGGGGCAGGAAGGGGGGGGGGCAGGCAGGGGGTGTCACCGGATCGATTTCTATGCATGAGCACCTCTAAGTTGTAATACCTCTCTAGCTATAGGTATAGATGATATCAAGCAACCCTACGTCCAGGCAGCAACCCCGGAACTGAATTGGTTCCGTTAAAAAAGGAAACCTCATTAAAATTTACCACAAAATAAATACATTTTTATCAAAAAAATTTGTGAATTCTACTTTAAAAGTTTCCGATGCTTAGGAACATAATTTTTAAGTTTTTAATTGTAAGAATATTTTGCCCTGAATGCTTTCCAACTTTAGTTGGTCGACTGTATAACCAGGGGATACCAACTCTATCAAACTTAAGTAAAACCATCAAAAAATAATATAAATAAAGTTTCAATTAAATATTTTGAAAAATTATTTATGCTTTCAATTAGTCCCTTTTCATTTTGATCCTGAAATTGTGCATATGAGTGATACGAAATGTGGAGAGGAAGGTGTTGAAACGGAAGTCTAAAAAACTAGGTCAATTCCATAGTGATATAAACACAATATACTTTCCTCAAACCAATGATTGAGGAGGCAAAAGTACGCACATGCACAAAAACTAAGGTGAGGCCCAAAATGGTGTGGGACATGGCCGGCAGGGCCCAACACAAACCGTTTTGAATCTAAAAATTTTCTTTCCAATATTGATGATTTCCAAATGGAAATGGAAAAAGAAATTAAAGTGAGGGGGGGGGGGGATTTTCTCCTATAAGAGCAGGTACGTGTGAACGAAAAAAGCTAGAAATTCACAGTATTTCAAAAGCTTTAATGCCAGAATATCTTAGCATTAAAATAATGAAATTCAAATCAAAAAAGAAAAAATAACAAAATAGAAGTAAAAAAGATAAGGAGCATGTGAAGTAATAAAAGGGTCAACCCAGCAAAGCTTTTAATCTTAGATATAAAGAACAATTGAACAAAAAAGGCAAAATAATCTATAACGATACTAAATAGTAAATGTTAGTTAGTTAGTTAGTTAGTTAGTTAGTTAGTTAGTTGTGGACGAGGAAGCACTTTAAAGTTAGAAAGAAGATATAAACATCAAGAGAAATATAAAAGAACAGAGACCATATTTTATTAATAGCGAGACATGGTTGAACCACTTTAGACTTCTTGTGGGCTTGAACTGGCGCACAAAAGAAAGGGTTGATTGCTGATCCCGGGGAAATTGATTTATTTAGATTGTATGTTCACCTTGGTATGTTCAGATAGGATTACAAAAAGCTTATTACAAAAGATAAATGAACATAAATATCCAGTATAAATAAACAACTATATTAAAAAGTACACAATGTATAAAGAATTCAATAAAGTAAGCAAACATAGAATGATCTAGATAAATAGAGATATAATGTAATTAAAGAAGTATATAAAGCATACATATGATACGTGGTATTTCCAACTTAAGTAGACATGATAAACAAATCTAAAGAACTGAAGAGTGTCAACCCTGAGTGTCCAGGGGTATATTCTGAAGGTGTCAAGGGGGGGGGGCGGGGCTCAGCAACCATGGGGACGCGAAAACTCCCGAAATCCATAGATGTCACTGGTCTATGGGCTCAGTCCCCCCCCCTGAAAACGCCTCTGGCCCGACCAAAATATATTTTCAAAAATGTGAAACTTTAAACACCTACTTTATTTATTTACTCTATGAGATTTGAATCTTCATCAAAACCGAATTATAAATAGTTTGAAATGATGTGACGTATGATCGTATTCTCTATTAAGTACGTTAATGAGACGAACAAGTCAAGGAACGGTAACGAACGGTAAATATCGATAACCTAGTTCTTAACTTAGAACGAACAGAATATCTGAAACGTTTTTCTTTTTAACGGTTTTACCTCGCGGTTAACGAACGGTTTGAAAATACGTAATTATTTCTAATGATCTGATAATATTTACATCATAACTCATTAGCATCAGTACCTGGCGTTACCAATGCACATTTTACTTTGTTTTGAGGGCTGTTAATGGTGCAGTGGTTTTCAATGTTCCTTTGTCTTTAACATCCGTAATTTTTTATTAATTTCAAAAATCGTTAAACACTTGGCAAAAATCGTTAAACACTTGGCAAAAATCGTTAAACACTTGGCAGAAATCGTTAAACACTTGTCAAAAATCGTTAAACATTTGGCAAAAATTAACCTCCTATTGTTGAAACGATTTGAATTATATACCAGGTAAGGTTACCCACACAGGATAAAAATGAAATCGTCCCTTGTGGGTAATTCTGGTTAATGTAAAATTGGGGGAAAAGGCGACATCATCAAAACGCTTAATTAAAGTGGGTAAACACTAAAACAATTATTTTTGTATCAACTCTCAAAGTTTTACGCTTTTGCTGACTATAGGAAACAAGCATACAAAACACATGCATTCTTGCTTATCTTCAATTATGGATCTTCTTTAAGATGTTTATGTTTGAAGCATGACAACTAATATAAAAACGGTATTACAAAAATTTCTATTTTCTACGAAAAAGTTCTATTATCTACGAAAAAGTTCTATTTTCTACGAAAAAGTTCTATTTTCTACGAAAAAGTTCTATTTTCTACGAAAAAGTTCTATTTTCCACGAAAAAGTTCTATTTTCTACGAAAAAGTTATTTCTTCTACGAAAAAGTTCTATTTTCTACGTTCTAAGTTGAAGCTATTAATCCAGAACTCAGGAATCCGGAATCTGGATTCGTGACAAACCCCAATTAAATGTAAATTAGTGGTTGATACTCGATATATATCAAAGAACTATTGGAGTGCAGGGTAAAAAATATTAATATTTTTTCAAACATGATTCTTTTTCTTTTCAAATTCAAAGTTTTAACACAACAAAATAGTTATTTTACTGGCCTGGTCATTGCATGTAATTGCAATTGTCAACAAACTGTAATCCCTGTATAAATAAAGAGGCCCGGAAGTAAATTGCAGCTAATTTATTATTCATAAACCCGGAAGTAGGTCAGCGGCCGCCGCTTGTAAACGGGCCGTAAAACCTCAGGTTAATGATTAATTTAATTTTTAATAATTCTCCAGCTTTAAGAATCTCCGGGAGCATTAATTTCTAATTTTAGGCATTAAAAAAACTATTTCAAGGAAAGGAGGAACATCCCCTAAACGAAGGGATTGCATTTCCAAAAAAATACCCAAAAAATACCTAAAAAATACCTTACCTAAAAAACATCTAAAAAATACCTAAAAATACCCAAAAAAAAAAGAAGAAGAATAGTTTCCACTTCAGAATTTGCTTTCTATTTTCTAAAATGATATATTTACTTTCAGTATCTTTTCAATTTTCCCAATTCAAAACAGAAGTATTTCCAGAGCCCCAAAATACTTTTGGAACTATCTCCAAATCCCCAAGCCGTTTAAAACCCCAAAAATAATCCTTTTTGGGGATGAAATTCCCAAATGGGTAACTCTGGACATGCAGCGGAAGGTTATGCCCCTGTCTTCAAAAAGTTCAAAGAATACAAAATACTTGAATACATACTTTGTACAGGCTCTGTACTAGTGTTCTGAACATGTATAAAATGTTCAGTTCAAATTTGTTTACCAAAGCTTTAAAGAAATCAATTTTGTTTTGTCAGTGATATTTTTGTTTCTTCAAATCCTACAAAAAGGTGCATTTTTCGGCTGATTATAGAGAGCGGGGTGAGGGGGTATAATCAGAGGCGTAAATAGGGCGGTTATTGTTGGGTAATTACCCCCCCCCCTCTAGAATCTTGGGGACATAAATATCCTCGTATAGAAACTGTATCTCCATTCTCCATCTCCATGATTACCAAAATAGTAAAAATCTAAACAATTTTTTGCGGCGCTCCGCCTTGATCATTTAACTCATCACCTAAAACAAAGTAACAAAAATAAACTTTACCAAAAAAATCAATTATTTAATGCAGTAGCGTACTTGCACTATATGTCAAACTAGGCATAAAGTAAGAAATTTTTTCTTTTAATATAGTAAAATTATCTATATATACATACATATATATCTAATATGTGTACACAATGATTGAAATTGATCCAGTTTTTTTACAGAATAAATGTGTAGTTAATGTAATTAGTGACTATAAATTGAGACTTAAGAAAAAACGTTCTTACTCACTCAATTTTAATTTTACGCTGTTGAATTTTTTAACACATATCAATCGCGATATGCAGATTAGATTGAATTTTGAATTTTCTCAAGAATTATGATAAACATCGATAGAAGTTGATTTTAGAAGCTTAGTTAACAAAAATTCCTTTTTTAGAAGCATAGCAAGCGTTTCCATCCATAAACCTCTCTTGGTGATTTTGGGACAAATTCCATGGGAAACACTAGCCTTTAACTTTCAGCGGAAAATATGAATAATTATTCATAAACAATTGAAGACGATTCAAAACTGTGACATCATCCATTTAGAGGATTTTGTGAGCATATTACTTTGAACTTCTTTTTCACGATGGTGTGCGATTATATCAGTACAATGAAGACGACTTTTTATTTAAGGTTTGATTGTTAACAAGCTTTTTTCAAATTTCAAGTTTACAGGTAATCAAAGAGAAGCTTTTTTTAAATTGATCAATTCTTTTGGCTTTTATGCTTTTATGTATTCATTTCATGCTGTTTAAAAGCGTAGTTTAAATCAAATTTAATTCAAAAGTCGTCTTTATTGTATTGATATAATACCCAACTTAAATCTCATTTTCACTCAGATAAAGGTTGAAGGGTACCTTTGTAACTCAACAGTACGAGTTGTTTACTGAATACTAAACATTTTGTACCATCACTCAACAAAAAACATAATTTTTATTCTTTTTGTTTTGATTTCTTGATAGCTTGTTAAGTTGATTTTAAATCAAAAAAATATTACCGAGAAACTGTAAAGAATAGAACATCTGTCAGCAAAACATTTTAATGAAGTAATATTTCCAACAACTGCAAAATCAGTGCAATCTATTATTTTTTTATATTTTCTACTTACTTAACAAAGCTACACAATACATTAATATCATATTTGTAGTTAATTAATATTAAATATTTTCTTCTATATATTTTCATAAATACAAATATAGTCTAGGCTTCAAGCGCCCCTTTTCTCTAAAATTTGTGGATTTTTAAAATGAAATAAGTTCATAAACCTTCCAAAATTTTTAGCCCGTTGCGCGATAGATTTAGTTTTTAAGACGTTGATTGGATACAAAAAAATAACAGACAAGCAAAAAATATATGTATTTAGAGATTTTGAAAGTTTCGATTTATTTATCTATATATAATAAAGCTCTTTGCTCATGCTGCAGAAGAGTGATTAAGTCACCAAAAAATTTGTATAGCAATAAAATGGAAAAATATGAATATTGTAGATATGAATATTGTAGATATGAATATTGTAGATATGAATATTGTAGAAATGAATATTGTAGAAATGAATATTGTAGATAGGAATATTGTAGATAGGAATATTGTAGATAGGAATATTGTAGATTTGAATATTGCAGACATGAATATTGCAGATATGCATATTGTAGATATGAATATTGTAGATATGAATATTGTAGATATGCATATTGTAGATATGAATATTGTAGATATGAATATTGTAGATATGAATATTGTAGATATGAATATGAGCGACGAGAAAAGTCTGCTTTATTCTGAAGACACTCCAAGGTGATACAAATATAATAGATATGAATATTGTAGATATGCATATTGTAGATATGAATATTGTAGATATGAATATTGTAGATATGAATATTGTAGATATGAATATGAGCGACGAGAAAAGTCTGCTTTATTCTGAAGACACTCCAAGGTGATACAAATATAATATTTTCAATTCAATTCAAATATTTAGTGTTTGATCCGGGGCTTAAATATGAGACGCGGTCCAAACATGGATTGTTCCGCTTAAAATTTTATCCAGTGTTACGAGATTTGAGCCGGCCCTCAATTTCAACCAACGTTTGGCGGATCAACGACTCGGTTTAAATTCTTTAAATTCGGCTTCCGGATATTTTTTTATAGGTTTTTTATAACAATTGAATATCTCAGAAAATATTAATTTTTATTCTTATTTTACTTTCTTTTAAAGGTTTTTAAAAACAACTGAATATCTCAGAAAAAATCAAATCAAATCATTTTATTTCTTCAGAACCCCCTCTCCCCTTATTGTTCTTTGCTTTACCGATCTTATTTTTACACCGTGAACCTTCTTTTAACAAGAAAATTATTTTTTTGAATGGCTTTTAATAGTATTTAATAATTTTTAATGATGTTAAATGATTTTTTGAGAAATTTATCAGTTTATACAAAGTTTGAGTCTTAATAATATTTTCCCCCTTTTATAATATTTTCCCTCTTTCATAAAATAATATTTTTACCCTTTTATAATATTTTCCCCCTTTTATAATATTTTCCCCTCTATAATATTTTCCCCCTGTATAATATTTTCCCCCTTTTTAAATATTTTCCCCCTATATAATATTTTCCCCCTTTTATAATAATATCCCCCTGTAAAATATTTTTCCCCTTGTAGATTATTTTCCCCCTGTATAATATTTTTCCCCTTGTAGATTATTTTCCCCTTGTATAATATTTTTCCCCTTGTAGATTATTTTCCCCTTGTATAATATTTTTCCCCTTGTAGATTATTTTCTCCCTGTATAATATTTTTCCCCTTGTAGATTATTTTCCCCCTGTATAATATTTTCCCCCTTTTATAATATTTTCCCCCTTTTATAATATTTTCCCCCTGTATAATATTCTCCCCCTGTAAAATATTTTCCCCCTTGTAGAACCAAGTTTCCTCGCAAAATTCCCGTGATTGTTGAAAGATACAGGTAGGGTTGTTAATCGTTTAAAAAACTATCGTTTTTCTTTTCGTTTTTGATTTATTTTTAAACGAACGATATCGGAGTTTTTAGAAAAACGCCGAGTCAAAAAGAACGAACTAATCGTTTTAAACGGCCTATTTAGCAATTAGCGAATATGTCGCTAATGGTCGTTAACTATCGTTAACGAAGGGTTGGTGTTAATGGTCGATAACGATCGTCAAAAATCTAAAACGACGAACCAAAACTAAACAACAACTTTTAGTTTTTTCTACGACGTTAACGAAACGATTTTTTGGGTTTTAAAAAAATGTTAACGATCCATCCCTAGATACAGGTACATTACATTAATAAAATGAAATACTCTTTAATAATCATTCCCAGAAATTGAAGTATGAAAAATTTCAATGAAAGGAAATGCTTTTTTATTTGAAATTCGGTTTATAGTTTGTAATATCAAAACTTGATTTCTACAGCAAAAATTGCCAATTTTAAAATTGAATTTTATAACATGGTTTCGTTTATTTTTGCAAAGATTAGGAAAAACAAAAATGAATCTTACATGGTTTCTATCTTGAATTGAAATTGAAAAGCTATTGAGAAGAAAAAAAAGGTTTTTGGATTTTAAATAAATTTTATGTTCTCACTTTTCCAGGAGGGGGGGGGGGGACACAATTTGTTTTTTTTTAATTTTGATGCTAAACCACACACACACGACCAGGGGTGGGGAAAATGATCCCCCACTTTTTTAATCCAATTAAAGAGACAGGAAGGTGCCCTCGGTCTCTTCTTGCACCTACCTTTTTACAGGGATGAGGGGGAAGGGGGAAGGGGGGGACCTCACTCTTTCCAATGTATTTTTCATTAGTAATTAACTATTGACGTCAAATAGATAAAAGCTTTGCTTAAGAAACTATCAAATAAATAACTTATAAAACATTAATCAAAGTCAGAAAAGCAATTGTATATGTTCTAGATCGTGAGAATAAAAGGGATTCAAAGAGGGCAATGTCTGATTTAAAGCAGTACCCTTTAAGCCTTTGACTGGACATGATCAGAGAGTGTGTTTAAATAGGGTTTTCACAAAACAGTAGATTTTCGTGTGGGTTTCACATGAAATTATATTTTACACTATTTTGTGCATCATTTTCAAACAAACAAAAAGCCAATTTTGCACTAAATTGCAAAGTCATTTGCATACATTTTTTGCGCATGAATGCAAAAGGTCAAAGTTTTTGTACGAAATTGCCCTATGCCCATGAATACAAAATTAAGTGATAATTGTTGCTTAGTACGTTAATACAAAAGATTTAAATTTATGGACAATATTTCGGGAACTCTTTATTTCCTGCAAAATGAAATAGTCATTTTTTTGCAAAGTGTACATTTTTACAAAAGCCAAAAATGTAATTTTGTCTTTTTTTAAGTACATAGCACTGTAACTTCAAATACGTCTTGTATGAATGTCTCTTGATTGCTTTTCAAGTGTTGTGTATCTAATGACTTGTTGTGTGTAGCTTGTGTAACTTTTTAGCATACGTCTAATTAGTGGAGTTCCTTTAAGAATCTAATTAAATATATTGAGAGAATTCTCATTAACCTAATTTCCAATATTATGTTTATCCAATGAATGAGCGCAGAAAATTCCAAATAGTTTTGAAATTCAATCTAATAACTAGAAATAATGAATTGCAAGTTTTCACAAATCCTTCAAATTAATCATCTTTTAAGATTTAAAAAAAAACTTGAAAATATAGAATTGTGGACATCGAGACTAATCTCTTCTTATATTAATCTTAAGATTAATTTAATCTTTCATTAAGATCTCATGTAACTATCTAAATGCAACCAATCAGAGTGTCGATTGTAGAAACCTTACAGCTGGTCAGAAGTGGATTTTTTTTATTTTGGCGCGCAACCAATGAGAATAGTTTCGTTTGTAGGACCCCAATAGGGATATCCAAAAAGAGAGGATTAAGCAAAAAATCAAAAGTGTCAACAATGGATACAAAGATTTAACAATCGGGATTAATGGTATTCAATACTAGAGATTTTAGCTAAAGATAAACTTTAACTTTTTTTTCTTTTTCATAGAAACGATTCGACATCTGGAAGTACTGACCTATTCTTATCAAATGCATTGTTTTTTTATATTTCATTGCTAAGGATAGGCAATATTTTAGTTTCTTGGATCCGAATCCGCAAACATGTAGTTCCTTGTATTAACCAGAACATTAACATCAATTATTTGTAAATCAAATTTCTACGTAAAAATCACTGAAATCAGATGAAAATAATTCAGGAGAATTAGCAACAACAAAAAATATAAAAAAGAATTATAAAATAATTCACGAGCTAGATTTTGATCCAGTCTTTTTCTGAATGGATCCTGGATCCGGATAAGATCCTATCAACATTTTGTATTAACATTCTAAAATATTTTATATCGTTAGCAGTACGATATCATTAATTAATTAATTATTAATCATTAATTTCATAAGGACACTTAGAAATATAATTTTTGATAAAGTAAAATATATTTTTAAGCTAAATTATTATTTTAATTTATCATTATTTTTGTATTATTCTTTAGTCTACATTTTCACTCTCATATTAGTTATAATATGTAGTAAAGTAATAAGTAAAATGATTACAATCACATAATTATATCAAATAAAAGTAAAGTTAGGGCTCAGGGCGTTTTTTAATATTCTTAAGATCTTCTAAAACTTCTTGGAACTTTTTTTTAATAATACAAATGTTTACGAGAATTCTTTGAAATACGGGTTCATTTATTCTGGGGTTTCCAACGTGGTTTTTCAAAGGGGATTTTACTTGCACAAATTTGCGAGCTCTTGAGTGCGCGCAATTTCATTGCAATTCCGTTCAACTTCCATTCGTTTGTGTTTCAAAATTTTAAAAGTTTAAAAAATCGTAATTTCTCTTAAACGAACCTTTTAATTTTAACCAAAAAGATCATTTTAATTTTCATCTAATGTGAACAAATGAAAATGTCATGTTAAATTGTTATTGTACCTTAACCACAAGAAACTTTATGATTTGGAAAATGTTGAGGAATTTAAAATAATTTTCAAAAATCTGCATCGAACAGTTCTGTCCATTTCCATTATTGTACAGTGAATCCCAGATATATAAATACATAGACCGTCATAAGTTTTTTGATAATTTAAAAAAAAATTTATTTTTTATTTTTAAATATTAATATTAAACTCATTTTTCCGCGGCATTTGATCTTAAATATGTAAAATGACATTTTAAAAACTCTTACTATTTATTCATATATCTGGGATTCACTGTGTCTGCTGCATAAATTTGTTACTCGCAATTAAGAATGGGAAAGCACTTGCGAAGCGGTTCCGCGCAATTCCTCCACATTTCCGCACAACTCCGGGCAACGGAATTCCAATTGGAAACCCTTATTTCCCATTTTTGGGTTAACCAATTATATAAAGTTTTTTTATGTAACAAAAACAAACATTATGATTATATAAAAATAAATAAATATTTATATATTGTTGTTTAGAAAAGAGAAAGTTCTGCCGGAAATAGATAAAGTGAAGTTTCTTGTTCCGGAGGAGTTGACCCTTTCCCAGCTAGCAAATATACTCAGGAAAAACAAAAAAAATTTTTTTGCAAAAATGCCCAAAATCTCGCGGGAAAATTTTGTTTAAAAAATATATTCTTCATTTTGAGAGACTTTTTTTTGGTATTTTCACTAAAATATCACAATCCCATGGATTCTTATTTGTCCTGAGACAAAAACAGTTTACTCGTGAGTTTTGCGATTTACCTCGCTTTTTAAGTAAATTACAATTTTTAATTATCTGTTTATTATTATATTTCAATTCGAAATTGAATACAACGGATTGTTACGTAGACATTTATTACTTATATATTTGTTACGTGACGTAGATATGTATAACGTAGATATTTATTATGTAGATATTTGTTACGTGGATATTTATTTCATATGTGTGTCAGGTAGATATTTGTTACGTAGATATTTGTTACAAAGATATTTGTTAGGTAGATATTTGTTATGTAGATGGTTGTTATGTAGATATTTGTTACGTAGATATTTGTTACGTAGATGATTGCTATAGGGAGTGTTCGCAATCAAATGAGTCGAAAAACAATCGATGACGACTGTTTGTAATATCTGAAAGATTTGTTTGGAATTAATTTGATTATTTCACGATCCGAATTGAATGTTGCAACTTTCTCAATTTGTATGGACGCTACGTTCTTCAGCACAAGTCGTTTTTTAACAATTTTCTCCTTATAGACACAACAGATAGAAGTAAGATTAGTAGCAATCAAAAGCGCTTATTTTTCGCTGTAAGCCTATACCCCCTTTCGTTTTTCGTGAACACTCCCAATAAGTAGATATTTGTTACGTGAATATTTATTACATTTATATGAGTTAGTTAGATATTTGTTATATAGATATTTGTTATATAGATATTTGTTAATAGATATTTGTTACGTAGATATTTGTTACATAAAAATTTGTTACGTAAATATTTGTTAATTCAATCTTAACCATGACGTTGAGAAAACCTGAGTGGGTAAATTACATATTCATGTATTACAGGAGTTACAGTACACAAAGAAACTATAGATGTAACTTTAATTGAGAAAACCTGAGTGAGTATAGTACAAATTCATGTACTTGTATTACAGGAGTTACAGTACACAAAGAAACTATAGAACTTTAATTGACACTCCATGCCACTCTTAGTTTCCCAACAATCCTTTGTCATACACAAAAATAAGGATAACTATTGACTGATAAAGAGTATCGTTAGGTATGGGACATGCCAATCTATAGTCACTTGAAATTTCGTTCACAGTCCCTTAAGAACATTGATCATACCAAGACAAAGGATCATACAACCAGTTCTTAACTACCTCCCACTTTCCGAATTTCAAATATAAATTGAATTTGATAACACGACACTTTATGTTCAATATTATTATTGTAAAACAATATTTGTTTGTCTCCAGAATGCGACTTAAGCTGACCCCTACTCAGGTATTTACAAAATACATTTACCTTTATGATCACAATAGTAATCTCTGTTTGTTGTTTGTATATCCAATCAGAACTCAATAACCCTTGGGCTGATTTGCATCAAATTCTGTGTGGGATACTCAATATAACAACGGAAAATGTTCTAAACTTGATTTTAAAAAGTCTGAGTTGAAAACTTGAGTGAGTTGACTTTTAAGAGAAAAATTAGATTCCAGGCAGAGTTATGGTTCCCAAGCTATCTTTTATTTTTCTCAATACTTTTAGGATTTAGATCTTGTTGACATAATCTGAGCTGAGAATTTTTGTGTTGTATATTCGGCTGAGTCTTAAACCTATGAAATTAATGATGCGACTTTAGTTTAACCCTTCGTCCTTTCTTCTTCTTTTCCTCTTATTCTTAAATATCTTTTCCTCTTATTCTTGAATATCTTTTCCTCTTATTCTTAAATATCTTTTCCTCTTATTCTTAAATATCTTTTCCTCTTATTCTTAAATATCTTTTCCTCTTAAATACCTTTTCCTCTTATCTTTTCCTCTTATTCTTAAATACCTTTTTCCTCTTATTCTTAAATACCTTTTCCTCTTATTCTTAAATATCTTTTCCTCTTATTCTTAAATATTTTTTCCTCTTATTCTTAAATATTTTTTCCTCTTATTCTTAAATATCTTTTCCTCTTATTCTTAAATACCTTTTCCACTTATTCTTAAATATTTTTTCCTCTTATTCTTAAATATCTTTTCCTCTTATTCTTAAGTACCTTTTCCTCTTTTTCTTAAATATCTTTTCCTCTTATTCTAAAATATTTTTTCCTCTTATTCTTAAATATCTTTTCCTCTTATTCTTAAATACCTTTTCCTCTTATTCTTAAATATCTTTTCCTCTTAAATACCTTTTCCTCTTATTCTTTAATATCTTTTCCTCTTCTTTTTAAATATCTTTTCCTCTTATTCTAGAATATATTTTCCTCTTATTCTTAAATTTTTTTTCCTCTTATTCTTAAATATATTTTCCTCTTATTCTTAAATATTTTTTCCTCTTATTCTTAAATATCTTTTCCTCTTAATTCTTAAATATCTTTTCCTCTTATTCTTATTTATCTTTTCCTCTTATTCTTAAATACCTTTTCCTTTATCTACTTGGTTTTCTTCTCATCCACCCTTCTTTGCTTTCCTTTAGTTCTAAATTATTTTTGTTACATTTGGTTTTATTTCAATTTAACATGTATTTATCACTGCAAAAGGGCCTCTCATTCATAACATTAAAGTCCAAAACAAAAATTTCGGTTTCTGTTTTTTTAATTGATTTTTGAGGAAAAATTGTATCTTTATAAATATGTAATTTTCAATGAAATGTCAAGATTACGTTAGATTTTATCTCCGAAAGTTTGAAAGTTTTCTTACTAAATAGTTGTTAAATTAATTAATAATTTTACAAAAAGTCCAAAAGTTTCCGAATCAACTTTTTAGAGTGCATATTATTGTCCGAATTCCGCCATCAAAATAATTAAAATCCACAATCTTTGAGAATTTGTTTTTTCATCAATCTGCTGAATTGATAAAATGAAACAAGGCTAAAAACAGAGCTATAGCCACACAAACAAACTGGTTTTACTTCACATCAAGATTGATAAGATTTTCAAAATGTATTAATTCAAAGATTTAAAGGGACTGTAAAGGAAAAATGAAAGGGTGTATAGGCTGAAAGCTAATCACTTTAGCTCTTGATTGCGACCCATGAAAGTTTTATCTGATGTTCCTGTCTTGAGAAAATTATATAAAACTGTGTTAAAATTATACGAAAGTTTATATATGTAAAATTGATAAAATCTTAAACTTAAATCACGTAATTAGAACTATCACCAATGGCAGAGCAGTATACTGATCATGTGTCATCCGCCTGTATCACGTGGCCACTTTACTGCACTGCCATTGGTGGAATTTCTGGTCAAGTAATACGGACGTATAAATAATAGTATGAATGAAATCTATTAAAAATAGAAATAACAAACATAAAAGTAAACCTAATTTACAATTAGCTTTCTCTGGGATATCATCGTTTTCGGATTGGTTGCTTATTTGCTGAATTTGATCTTTTTAAACCTACTACTTTTATACAAAATTGTATATATATATATATTAATTTTCGTATAAAATTGACAAAGTTGTAAATCAATTTCTCGAGATAGGAACATCAGATAAAGCTTTCATGGGTCGCGATCGAGAGCTAAAGTGATTAGCTTTTAGCCTATACCCCCTTTCATTTTTCCTTTGCAGTCCCTTTAAAAATGTTTTTTTATCATTAAAAAAGTACCTTTTGATGTTATGAAAACAAATGTATTGAGAAAAGATATGTGATATAAGAAAAATATGTGATGTCTTAGCGGTTGATGTAATAAAAGTTGTCAAAAAAATTGTCGAAAATGTTAACTAAAAAATACGAGTTTAGCGGTTGAACCAATTTCAAATTTAAGAATAAAAAATACTTTTTTATTTTTTTAGACTGCGCAGAGACTACGCTATATCTCAACCACTCCCGCTGAGTTTTTTTTCTCCAAAGTTATATTATTCTCTTAATTCACAAATATTTTATTAGAATAAGTTCTTACACAAAGTTGAGTCCAGCTCTAATTAAGAAAGTGTCTTCGTAATTTAAAGTGAACCTCCGTTAAAAAAAGTTCTAATTCACAAGGGTTCCCTTCAAACCATCATTCGGTCACCAGAAAGAAAAAATTGTTTTTCTGTTCGATTCGGTCAGTCTGTTCCGATTCAGTCACTCTTGCGGGGAACTGTTATAGCAAGTTATGATTTTTGTTAATAGAAAAGCGGCTCCATTATTTCTGCAAAGACAAATGATGTTAAAAATCAGACATTTAACTCTTTAAATGGCGGGTCACCTGAAATTACGTTAACAGTCCCTTTAACAACACTTTTCTTGTTCAGGCGTTCTTCCTGTTTATCGACAACGGACATATCCCTGTTCTATCCGCAGTTCTAGTTCAGCTACACAGGTTTGTACAAATGTTGGATAGAAATACATTTATCAAGATGAAAAGTGTTAATCAATCATTATAAATTGTGCCTAATTGTGATTAATAACGTGGTTAATAACATTTTTACTCGAAAAGGAAAATATTTTGAGAAAAATTGTTAATTTTATTTTATTCGATATTTTATTATCTTAAGATTTAAGCAATACATTTTTTGGAATTTTTTATCTGATTAAGATAATAAAAAATTTGACATGAAAAAATAATCCCAAAAAGGTATTCCTTAAATCATATGTTAAAACAAAAACAATTTATAAACGAATTTCTAAAAAACCCCTTACTGCGTAAGAAATGTTATTATAAAATATAAATCTTATCAAACTCCTTTATGATCCAATATAAATTACAAATATTGAAAAATCAATAGATAACTCTAATCTTCAGTAAAATTCTTGTGCCACTATGTTAAAAGTAATGAAAGAAATTTTTTATTACATGTAAAAACTAAGAGTTATAAAGAAGCTGTGCTGCAGAGCGGAGGCTCGTACTACATAGTCAATTTTGGAGGCTCGTGTCTGCATAGCGGTGGCTCATGGCGCCATGACCCTCCCTACCTCTTGTACTTATTGAATAAGACTAGAAAGAAAACTTAATATATTAGCAAGTTTCTCTGTTTAGAAAGTACAAGGATGAGGACGGATTTCTGTACATTACATACGCTAGTCAAGAATCTTTTGGATAAGTGGTGGCTAAACAATTATATATATATCATTCTGTACATGCTGTACAACCTGTACATTCTTAGCATTCTTCACATTTGGTTTATTTCGTGTATTCAGTAAATTCTGCACATTCTGTACTGAACGCTTTGTGCGGTCTGCACATTATGTGCACACTGCACATTCTACACATATTGATATTTTTTGCAAAATTTGATAAGTGATGTACATTGTACAACACTTTACTGGTCAAACTTTGAATGTACAGTTTACACTAGCATGTAGATATATAGTAAAATGTACAAGTTTATTGCCGCGAATTGAAAAGGTCAAAATTAGCTAGATCTACTGTTTAAAATCTTAAAACTTTGTAAAATGTAGATTTAATTTAAAATAAATATTATTTTTTTTTATCTTTTTATTTATTTCCAATTTGAAAGCTCTTTGTTTTTGATACAGTAAGAACGAGAAAGTTGTGGATTGAATGTTGTCTTTATTTTTTCTTTTACTTGCGACGTGTCGCTTTATTTTCCTTTTACTTATGAAATGTCGCTTTATTTTTCCTTTTACTCATGACATGTCGCTTTATTTTTCCTTTTACTCATGACATGTTGCTTTGTTTTTCCTTTTACTTAAGACGTCGCTTTATTTTTCCTTTTACTCATGACTTGTTGCTTTATTTTTCCTTTTACTCATGACATTCGCTTTATTTTCCTTTTACTTATGACAGGTCGCTTTATTTTTCCTTTTACTCATGACATGTCGCTTTATTTTCCTTTTACTTATGACAGGTCGCTAAGGATTTTCTAAAACTATTCAGAGGTAGAAATTTTGTCTGGATGCTCGTTAACTCTTAAATGCTTGATCTCGATATCTAATGTGGTCACTTATAGATTTGAGGATAAATACTTGATCCCTCAATTTAAGTAATCCCTGCAAGGGTATGACCACCAGAGGAGGAATTAAATTACTCAATTTAATAAGGAGATATTTCTTTGTTCCTGAGATGCACAACACAAAAGTTCGGACTTCATGGAACTTCAATACTACTTTTCAAAATAGTTTAGTTTGAAACTACAATAGTTTGTTCAAAAAGCGATAAAAGACGAAGACAAAAAATTTTTTAGTTCTTGATACATTTGTTACAATTTTAATAGTTCAATATGTTTCTATAAATGGAAGAAGCAACGCAACGTCTTTCAGAAAGTTATTTTGAAGTATAGAACAAAATGTCGAGTTTTAACACTACATTATTTTGAAGGATTTATATTTTAGGTTGAAAAGTATCTGAATAAACTGAACAAAATTTAATAATAATTAAATCTCTGACTAATCTTATTTTAAAAATGTAATGTATAAAATTAAGAATTTGTACATTTTGATGTTTTATTCTAAAAAGTTTTGTGAAGATGAACTATTTTTTCCCGTATTGTTGTCAAATCTCCTTTGAAAATCGATGGATTTTTATAAAGTTTAAAAAAATTATATTTCTCCATCGAAGCGTAAGATTTTCAGAAAGAACTTTGATCGAGTTTTACTTAAATTTACCAAAATAAATAGTATTTATCCGCTAAATTTTAATACTTTCTAACCTATATCATGATCCTGGAAAACAATATTTTATTATTGTTTAAAAGAACGCTAATCCCAGTGTTTATTTAATCGCCCGTATATTTTAAAATATTACTTGAAATTCAAAATAAAATTCATGCACCCAATTTGAATTATTTAATCAAATAATGATACTTAGACGGATTTAAAATGTGTGTTAAGTAAATTAAAATAAATCTATGATGAGCCGCATTGACCTTTCATTCCCCATAAAAACGAATTGCATAAAAAAGTCCGCGAGCGGTTGAGATATAGCATAAACTCTACGCAGCCTAGAATAAGAAATGTTCCTTTTTTCTCTAAGTTAAACAGCAAAAATCGTATTTTTTGTTTAACTTTTAAGGATTTTAAACTTTTTTTGCTTTCAACCGATGGTTTAAGATTTGTCAGCCACTTTTTTGCTTTAAACCGTTAGGTTTAAGATTTCAAATATTTATTTTTGTTTTCAACCCTTGGTTTTAAGATTTTTCAGCAACTTTTTTGCTTTAAACTGCTGGGTTTGATTTGAACAACTTGCTTTCAATTGGGTTTTAAATTTTAAATATCTTTTTTGGTTTCAACAGCTGATTTTTTAGCAAGGTTTTTTGCTTTCAACCACTGGGTTTAAAATTCTGAACATCTTTTTTGCCTTCAACCATTGGTTTCAAGATTTTTCAGCATCTTTTTTTGTTTTCAACCGCTGGGTTGAAGATTCTGAACCACTCTTTGCTTTCAATCACTGGAAAACAATTTTTCTTGAAAAACGTTTTTTTTCTTTCCACCACCTTCATGGTTTTTTTTTTGCTTTCAACTGCTAGGTTCAAAATTTTTTAACAAGTTTTTGCTTTCGATCACTGGTTTTAGAATTTTTGAACATCTTTTTAGCTTAAATGACTTGGTTTCAAATTTTTTAGCAACTTTTTTGCTTTCAACTGCTGACAAAAAAATTTCTTGAACAAACGTTTTGCTTTCAACTCCTATGTTTAAGATTTTAAATAACCTTTTTGCTTTTAACCGCTGGTTTTTAAACTTTTCAGCAACTTTTTGCTTTCAACTAATTAAAATAAAATTTCTTGAAAAACTTTTTACTTTTAATCGCTGTGATTATGTAAAAAAAATATGATTCCAGTGATTTGAATGCAAAAAGTAGAAACCCAAAATTTAAAAAATAATAAAACAAAGAAGTAGAAGAACGTTTCATAAAATGAGTAAACCAGTGGTTGAACAAAAAATTATGAAAAAATGTGATGAATTTGATGATTAAAAAGTTAAGGAAAAAGTTTTTAAATATGCATAATTAAGGGACTGAAAGAAGAAAATGTTTTATAAAAAGAATTTTGCAACATAAAATCGATTTCAGCAGTTAAATAAAACCAAAAAAAAATTAAGGTATGAAACCCAGTCGTTGAAAGAAGAATAAAGTTTCACCAAAAAGAGTTCAACCGGTGGTTGAATAAATAAGGTTTTGTAAAAAAAAATTTGATTCATAAAACGAATTAAACCAGGAGTTAAAGGATAACGAAATTCTCCCGATCCTGGTATTCCCATAATAGAGGTCTGTCTTTTCTGTGATTAGAAAATATTGGTTTTATTAATAGGACTTATTTCAAGTCACCTTCCATTTCAAGAGAAGCATCCCCGATTTACAACGGTACCCTGTAAACCTTTTATACAGCGATAACCAGAAAACTCGGAAATAGGAAGACGACTTTTAAACTCAAAAGTTATAACTTAAACTAGTTCAATGAACATTAGACATAGCAATTGTATAGTGTAAATAGACCCTTTTCACTTCAATTGTGCTTTGCTAAGTTACTAGTAACAATATTTCCATTGTAACAACATCAAAACGCTGAATTATTGCTGTAATGTCGTCTTTCTATTCCATTGTTTTCTGGTTATCACTGTACTGTTCAAGGATGTCTGACACATCCTTATTAATATACTAATATATATTTTGATTATTAAAAACTTTGTTTGCAACCTGTTGTATATTCAACACCTTTTTACGAGATTCACACAAACTCGATGAACAGTTTAAAGGTTACTATTATAAATCTAGCAAACTGCCCTCTTATCTTTGTATGGAGAGTCATTTGAAATTACAAGTAAAGCCCCTATTAGAAATATCATTAGTTACTTTCTAGAAGTGGCAAAAAAAACCCAAAAAGTCCCTTCAAATAAATTGAACCAAATTCTCTAAACTTTAAAAAGAAATAATTGCAATGTTTAGTGGAATGCATGCACCCCGAATATTGGGGGTCTTGACAGGGAAGAAATAAAAACAAACTCAACAATTTAAATGTTTATTTATTTAGTTCAGGTACGAACATAGGGTTTTTCATTAAATTCGGATAATTGAGTTTTTGCTTTGGAATAGGAAAGCAACATGAAACAGTTGGCATTATCTTGTTTTCGATATTTATCAGTTTTAAATGAACATGGGATTAAACCTATTTGTTCCCTATTTGTAAAAACTGTTTTCAAAATGTATAATAAATAAATAAATAACATTCTATATAATTGATAATTTTGATTAAAATACATAGTGACTCAAAAATCATGAAATTTGCTAGCGTGTTTTTTTATAATAATGCCCATACTTTTTGTACACTGACTGTGCATATTTTGTTTACATAAATTTGGCATGAAAATAGTTAACGAAATTTTCTTTAAATTTCATGTTTTATGAATCAACCTTCAGGAATAAATTAATGCTGTCTAGAGCGCCATCTTGGATTTGGGAAAACAAGCTGTTGTAGGGTTGGGGAATATCGACTGTTTTGGCGGGAAAACTTGGCAAATCTTCGAGAAGCAGAACTAGGTTCAGGGGTAACATTGGCTTCAGCTTCAATAGCGTCATTCTGCTCTACTGCTTCGGCCTGTGCTACGGCTTCATCCACTGCTTCTACTTCTGTCCCTGAAGTTTCAGTTATATCTGCTGCTGGAGCTTCAGTAATATCCGCAACTAGAGCTTCAGCTATCTCAGCAGCTGGAGCTTCAGTTATTTCCGCAGCTAGAGCTTCAGTTATTTCTGGAGCCGGAGCTTCTTCAGATTCAGGTGTCTCAGTAGCTTCTTCTATAACAGAAAGTTCAGTAGCTCTGAGTTGGGCGGTTTCTTCAGGTGCAGGATTAGCAGCAGGTGCTTCTGTTTCAGTACTAGGAGGAGGTTCAGGAGCTTCAGTAACCTCGGCAACCACCTCCTCTAAAGGCTCAGCAGGGTCAACAACAATAGGAGCAGGAACATCTTGGACCTCTAGAAGTTGGTCGGGGATTTCAGGAGCAGGAACATCTTCTACTGGAACAGGATTGGATGCAACCCTAAGATCAATAATACCTGCAATAGAGACTTCTGGTTCAACTTCAGCCACTGGAGTTTCTTCGAATATTGGAATTTCCTCGAGAAAGGAACCTTCAGTTTCTGCAATAACAGGAATTTCATCGAAAAAGGGAGCTTCAGTTTCTACAAAAACGGGAATGTCCTTGATAACTGGAATCGATTCTTCAAAAACTGGTGTCTCTTCAACAATTGGAGCCTCCGTAATTCTTTGAACGGACTCGACTGGGGTATCTTGAATGGAGTTGGGACTTTTGTAAACGATTAAAGATCGGTAGGATGGAGCAGCTATCTGGTTATAACTAGGGTAAAATAACGAAGCAGGTTTATATGTTGGAGCAGATGCCGGTTGGTAGGCAGGAGCAGCTGCGGATTTATAGGCGGGAGCAGCTTCAGATGTATAGGTGGGAGCAGCAGCTGATGTATAGGCGGGAGCAGCTGCGGGTGTGTAGGCAGGAGAAGCTGCGGGTGTGTAGGCGGGAGCTGCTGCGGGTGTGTAGGCCGGTGCAGCAGTGGGTGTATATGCTGGAGCAGCTTCGATTGTGTAGGTAGGAGCATTTGTGGGTTGGTAGACAGGAGCAGCTGCAGGTTTATATTCAGGAGCAGCTACAGGTTTATATGCGGGGGCAGCTACAGGCTTATATGCGGGAGCTGGAGCAGCAGGTTTATAAACTGGAGCAGGTTTACTGCTTTGAGCCTGATAAACCTGAGGTTTGGGTTCTCCATTATATGAAACATCAGCAATATATCCGCTATCATATCCATCAACAGTATAAGTAACTGTTTGAATCCGTCCGTCCGGAAGTAAAACTTGGTAGGAACCACTTGTCAGATCTACTTGACGGCTCTCATCTAAACAGTACTTTAGTTTAGATTTATAACCCACTTTAACCATGGCTATGCATAAGGTTTGGAGGGGGAGGGGNTAATCTAGATACTGTATAGACACATTTAGACCAGGGATTAGTCAGAAAGAATGTTTTTACGTTCTAATCTAACGTTAAAAACTCCTAAAATCTTCTTCCAACAAATTATTTTTAATCGAACATAAAGTGTTAGACACAATAATGAGATAAGGTTGAACTTCGTGTTCTTATTTAAACACATGTTTCTTTTTAATCATAGAATTTTTGTAAAACAAAACAAAAACTGTATTTTGCAGAGGACCATTGATGTAACATATATTCATTTTGCAAAGGACCATTGATGTAACATATATTCATTTTACAGAGAACCATTGATGTAACATATATTCATTTTGCAGAGGACCATTGATGTAACATATATTCATTTTGCAAAGAACCATTGATGTAACATTTATTCATTTTGCAGAGGACCATTGATGTAACATATATTCATTTTGCAGAGGACCATTGATGTAACATATATTCATTTTACAGAGGACCATTGATGTAACATATATTCATTTTACAGAGGACTATTGATGTAACATATATTCATTTTACAGAGGACCATTGATGTAACATATATTCATTTAGCAGAGGACCATTGATGTAATATATATTCATTTTACAGAGGACCATTGATGTAACGTACATTTATTTTGCAGAGGACCATTGATGTAACATATATTCATTTTACAGAGGACCATTGATGTAACATATATTCATTTAGCAGAGGACCATTGATGTAACATATGTTCATTTTACAGAGGACCATTGATGTAACAAATAATTTTTGTTACTGAAGTCTCAGCCTTTGTGGGTAGCCCAGTATTATTATTTTAATGGAAAAATTTATGAAACATGTTTTTGTAACAGGTCTTGCTGTCCTAATCCCCCACAAAATCTGATTTTTTGTATTTTAATTTTTTTAATAAATAATTCTATGTAAAATTAATTGACAAAAAACAGAGAAAAACGCCAACTACACTTCGAGTTATGAAATAAAAATGAGCACAATAGATATTTTTTATAATTTTAACTTTTTTTCAAGCTTTTCCAAATCTTTATTGTAAAATGAAAATTTATTTTTTTTTAAATTCAAATTTTGACAAAATCAATCTAAATAGACAAGGGACTAATTTAGTGAGTCTAGAAAATAAGGTTGTGTTTAGATTATAATAAGGTTGTGTTTAGATTATAATTGTGTTTGTATAAACCCTTATACGGGATTACCCAGTAAAGGGACTGTAAACATAGTTGCAAGTGAACCACCATGCAAAGATGGCAATGCATAATTTACTACGAAAACCTTTGTATCTTTTTATGGTTAATATTGTGGTTTAAAAGCGTTTACATTGCATTAGAAATGCGCAAGTCACTTAGTAAAGAAACATCCTAATTGAAAAAATTTAGTTTTCAATATTATAAACAAAGATGTCAAATTCATATTTGATCAGACAAAGCTTTTAAGCGTTGTAAGTTGGACATTGCTATCCTCCGAAGTGCTTTTCAAGTTTTTTTTAGCAAATAATGAAAAAAAATTATATTTTCTAAAATTCTTTAACAATGAAGTCTCAACTCCAAAATGCAAAATATTGTATAAAATTTTAACTTTTTTATAAGAAAATATTACTGCTTGCAGGTATAAATAAGCTTTACTTGAAAAACTGAAAACCCCGAGAAAATTATTAACCTGTCGATTTGTTTTAGTTAATCGTGCATTTCTGCTAAAATTTAAATGAAGAAATTTTGACTAATGTGATCTTTTACAAATATAATTTCTAAATATATTTGAAATGAAAAAATAAATTCATGACTTCTAAACCTTAATTTTGTAAATTTATTTTTGATTTAATTGTGGTTTTCACCTGCTTTAAAGTCTACTCCGAAATAATCATCCTTCACGATATAGGAGTAAGCATAGTTGGCTGGTTCTGAAACACCGTAGACGGGGGCTGTGTCCCCCCTGGAAGGGGGCGTCGCTAGGGAAAAAACAAAAGCGGCGGCAACGATCCTCATGTGTGCGGCCTTGGTCTAAAACTACGAAGGTTTTGTATTTAATTTAGTTTATATATGGGTCCGGATATTCTGCACTAGTTTTACTGGCGTACCAACAGTAGCCTGCTTATTCACATTTCCCGCGGTGATTCCCCTCAGGGTCCTTCACCGAGGGGTGGAGGGCTAGCCGACATAATTTTCGTGATTCGAGCCACATTAAACCAACCAATAAAATGATAGATTCAACAACCAGCTCATCTAGATACATTTTCGAACCTCTATTTTTAATGTCCAAAATCAGAATTCTGACTTGAAAATTGTTTTTTTGGGGGGGATTTTTGGGGATTAACCTTCCTAACACATTTTCACAGGGCAATTAAAAATAAAAGTTTAATATACCAATTGTTTTTCATAACTTGTTTCCCATAAAAGAAATATTTCAATTTAAGCTGAAAGATGTCACATTAAAATCTTTTTTAAAAGATGTTTTATCTTGCATTCTTTATTTAGTTTTTTTCTAAGGAGTGGGAAAAAAAATTATGAATTGGCTGGGGCTATATTACTTAAACCCTATTGTGATAAATCTAAATTACGATATAAAGGAATTGAGTTCTTGCAACAAACTCTAATTTTCTATCTTTGCAACCTGATTGTGTAAACCTTTAATATTTCAAACTAAAATTAATTGATCTATAAAAATTTATAGTTTGAAACATCTAAGGTCTACAACATTGGGTTGCAAAGATATAGGGATTAGAAAATCAGAATCTGTGGCAAAGACTCAATTACTTTCTTGTTTCTTAATGTAAAACTGCATTAGATGTAGGATTTTTTTTATTTAAAAATCCCAATTTAAACGTCTCAGTCCAAGTTGTTAGAATTGTCACTGGTTAAATGAAAGTGTTTTATGATCATGATTTCACTGAATTAAGATGTTTTCTGGTAAAATTGACATTTTTAAACGGACTGTTTTACCATGATTTGTTCAAGTATGATAAATGTTCTATCGTATTAAACATTTTTTTTACACTTTTGGTTCATTTAAAAAGTAAATCTAGATTTTGATGGAAGTCCAGATGCATGGTTTTTATGTTAGATGTTGAGTTTGGAGATCATTTACAAGGTTTTGATGTCACACTGCAAACTCAGTGGTTCGGATGTTGACTCACTTGGTTCATGGCGTCTCTGCCACCCCTACCTCGGGATGGTGGGCGAGCTGACTTAAATGTGGCTTCAGCAAGTATGTCGTATATACGTCTACTGCAGCGTCGAATTTTTATGAGAATTTGAGCTTTTGGGGCAAAATATAGTGCATGCAGTGCTTACAGGTTGAAGTTAAACATATCATTTTTTTCGCACACGATTCAAAGCAAAATTTCCTCAAATCTTAATGGGGGTAGGTTAAAGTGGAGGATCGTGGATTATAGAGAACGAGAGTCATTAAAACACATCTCTGCGTTTTTGATTATTTTCTTTTGTAAGAATGTAAATTAATAATGTCGATCGTGTATAACTATAAAGACCGTTTTGATTTCAACTCAAAAGTAACTCGTTCACGAATTTCGGAAAATCTGCTAAATATTTATGTACTGCATCTCACCTCAACAATATATGATATAAAACCTCTCTTGATTTAAAGAAAACTAAATACTATGTTTTATCGACGGTAAATATCTAAGCTAGACTAAATGGAATGTATATTGTAAGTGCACAATAGTTTCAACAACTCTAAAGAAATGCTTGGATTGCCTGTGCAAATATAAATAATAAATCTGATCACGTCCCCCCAGGGCAGAGTAATCATAGGGTTTTCTACTTTAAATCTATAGATACAATGTGGAAGAATAATTTCAGGGGTGTTTTTTAGGGGGTTTTTGGCAAAAATTGATGAATTTGAAAGATGAAAAAACTTTTGATTTCCAATTTGTTATTTTTTCCGAAAATTATCAGCAAAAAAATCAAACAAATATACACATCTTGGGCGTTATACCAGAGCTTTTTTGTGCCGGGGCCGGGTGAACATTTTTCAACTCTTTCGGGATCTCTTTTTATTGATTTTTCCTGGTTTTCATATTTTTTCAATAATTGCATCAATATAAGATCCTTTTTCAGAACCAGATTAGAATTTTAATGAGTAGTCTGAATTTTGTCCAGACTTTGTCTAGCTAAACCAACTACACAAGGTCATGCTTATTTCAAAGAACTCATTTCCATAATTTGAATAATCAAAAAATCTATCTCTATGTGAATACAAAGTATTTCTATATTAAAAATGATTAAAGGGAAAGAAAGTATTCTTCTATATTTTTTAATGACTTTTTTTCGCTGAATTAGGCTTATCAATGTATGTAAAGATTTTTCAGAAAAGACTAAAGATGTCGTAATTTATCGAATGATAAATGATAAAATCAAAAATTAATTTCTTTTTGTTACAGATCGTTTTACTGTTAAAATCGGTTTTTAAAAAAAGGCTTTTAGGGCGCTTTTAGCGCGCGCCTGTAATAATTATTTTCAAGACGCCAATCTTTGTTTGTTGTAAAACTACAATGGCTTTCCAAAATTGACCAAAGGAATTGAGTTTTCCCACAAACTTTAAATTTTAAATCCTAATATCTCCACAACCCAATGATATAGACCTTAGATATTTCAAACTATGACTTCTGTTATATCAAAAATATAAGTTTGAAATATCAATGGTTTACATCATTTGGTTGTAGAAATATAGGTATTAGAAAATTGGGATTTGTGGCAAAGACTCAATTCCTTTATAGGCAATTTTTTATCATTTTGATTTTTGGTACCAATCAGCCCAACCGTTTCGTGTTAAACTTATAGATCCAGACTTTAAAAGTCGTATCAAGTTTGAAAACTGGGTCGACTTTGCAGTGTTGCAACACATTGCCTTTGATTTTACATTTTACTAACTCTCTTATACTTTTTGTTTTCTTAGACATGGCACACTATAGTTGTTTTTAGTTTTTATGTAAAAGAAGAAATTGGCATAGTTCTCATCAATTTCTGCGTAAGAGCTTGTAAACATTGAATCACTGAGGGATAAAAATAGACAACCCATCAAACCAACCAAACATGGGGCAATACAGGTTTAAATATTGTACCTAGTGTAGAGTAGATCTATTAGACCAGCCAAACATGGGACAATACAGATTCAAATATTGTATCTAGTGTAGAGTAGATCTATTAGACCAACCAAACATGGGGCAATACAGATTTAAATATTGTATCTAGTGTAGAGTAGATCTATTAGACCAACCAAACATGGGACAATACAGATTCAAAAATTGTACCTAGTGTAGAGTAGATCTATTAGACAAACCAAACATGGGACAATACAGATTCAAATATTGTATCTAGTGTAGAGTAGATCTATTAGACCAACCAAACATGGG